CTTAACGGGGGGTTCAGGTTCCCTAAATATACAAACACAAGTAAAGAAAAAACGTGGAACTTACGACAATAATAGTTCAATCAGAACTAAGTGAACAGCTAAAATATAATAATAATCATTTATGTTGAAAACGTATACGATAAACACAGAATCAACAATTACAATTTCCCCCGTTGATTATCAAATTTTAGGGGTGGGGGGGGGGGAGGAATTTTTTACTTTTTACTGGTTTTCTGATCTTCAAAATTATTTCCATTAAATTAAAATGTGACGAAAAAATGTCAAAATTTTTTTTAGTTAAGAATTTTTAGAAAATAACTTTCATCAAGGAGCACACACCTTTCCGCTTCCTATCCGTAGTTACACATCCGTCCAGTCTATCCTGGACTCGGGCTAGAGCTTCCTTACCGGGCTTATTCCCATCATCACCACCAACCTCCTTCTTCTTACTCTTATCTCTGAAATATTCAATTACCAGCAAATCAAATTCAATTGAATCAAAATCAAATCAAATTAAAATCAAATCAGATCAGAGCTTGAAACTCTTGTATTGGACACCTATCATGCCGATCGCTAAATCTCTGTATCCACTGTGGACACTTTTAAGTTTCTTCTTAATCCTCTCTTTTGGATATCCTTGCTGGATTCCCAGGAATGCTATGAGAGTTCTCTCATTGATCGAGCGCAAAATTTCAAAATTTCTCGGCGTCTGATTGCTGCTCGGTTTCTACAATCGACGCAGCATTGATCTCCATATCCACAATTCTACAGTTTTTAGCTCAGATCTGATCTGATCAAATCAAATCAATTCAAAATTTTAATAACTTTTTTTCTTCTTCAATTCTTCCGAAGTTACCTTATGGTCCAATCGACTAGAGGATCGAATATAAAAGGACGAAGAACAGACATTAGAAGATCCTTCTGGTCTCTCATCATTCTCAGGGTAACCTAAAACAACATAATCAAATCAAATCAAATCAAATCAAATCAAATCAAATCAAATCAAATCAAATCAAATCAAATCAAATCAAATCAAATCAAATCAAATCAAATCAAATCAAGTGGAGAAAGGTCTTATAACTTGTAGACGGTATGATTCTTTATATTTTTTTTACGATCTTTTTATGTATTTCTAAACCGGTTGAAAAATAAAGATAAAATTTGTTTTAAACCATGAAGAGAGGGGTGGGGTGGGTCAAAGAGAGAGTATGTTTGACCAAAGATAATATTGCCCCTTAAATTCTGACCCAAAGGTCGAAAATAATAAATGAAGATAAGTAGTTCAACTGCTTCTCTAATCTCTACCTTAGCTGAAACTGCAATAGAGAAGTGTTCAGCTACTTTATGCTGAAATAAAAGTAAACATTCTTTTACTCATATTTCTTCCATGGTCTGAGCACTATTTTTATTCGACCCTACTATTGCCCTAAATCCCTTAACATAAAATCACCGACTATGAGCCCCATAGCTCACCTCGCATGATATTCTGAAAGGTCCTTCTGTTCCCAAGGGTCCAAATCCATCCACTATATTGTTGGTTAGTCGGAAAGGAACTATCTCTGGAACCTAGTTTTATCATGAAAACACAAACAAACAAAAGCAAGAATAACGCGAAATTATTGCCATCGTCGTTTCCAAAAAGAGAGGATTAAGAAGAAAATGAAAAGTGTGTCCATTGGATACACAGATTAAGTATCAGGATTAAGGATATCTCATTCTAAAGTTTTCAGCTCTGGACAAACATTTTTCAGTCATACAAGCTAAAAATTAAAAAACCGTTAGCGATATTTCTCATTAAAGCGAAGCAGAAGTCATTCTTTTGCATTATGGTTATCACATATAGTTTAGTAAATGAATGAATGGATTTTAACACAACCCGAATAAAATATCGTTAAATATACGATTTATATCTACTCATTTCGATACAGGAGATAATCCAAGCAAGAAGTGATAAAAACTGTACATGATAGAATAATGAATTGAATCATGAAAGATGAATAAATTGATAAATCATAAATGATCAGCTAATTCCATTGATCTTTAAATTGATAATTTTAAGTTCAGTCCAAGAAAAACTCTTTTATTTGTTCCATTCATTAATTGCATACTTAAAGAATGAATTCAAGTCAAAATAAAAAGAATAATTCAATTTATCAGAACATTTGTGGATTATTTGAATCATTGAATTTTTAAAATAAATTACCGCGTATGTCTCGCTGATATTAAACAAGCTATTCATGTCGACATGAAACGTCTGTCCTGTAGTTGTATCCACGTTTATGTTCTCCAGATGTCTATCTCCCAGACCCAGGATGTATCCCATCATAGACATAACGGCCGTTGTCCGGGTGAAGGCAAGCCGAGCCGCAAACCACGCCTTTATAACAACATTCGATAATTAATAATTACTTAAGGATAAAATTGTGGATTTTGATAGTTAGTTAAGTAGGAAAAAGAAACATCGAATAGAAATAAAGAAGTACTGAACCATTCACATTTTTATTGAAGTTCATCGAAAAACCCTTTAATTTTTGGCAAGTAATCCCTTAACGGGTTAAAATTTTAAAAAGTTTATTGAATATTAGGATTTTAAAGAAGTTTTAGGAGATATCTAGGAGTTTCAGGTTATAAATTAAATGGAATTTAAAATGGATTTTTTTACTCTAAACCTTAATATGAGGGCATAACAAGATACCATATGCAATTCACAATAATGCAATTTAATCTTTTGAACATTGAAACCAGACTTTATTGTAATAAAGTTGTATTCTAAAGGTTTTAATGAAACTGTTGCGCCAATTGATATTACTGAAAATTCCCTTATAAAGCTGTACCTGGGGATCCGGGAAGGTTCTAACAAACCATTCTCTGAACACTGAAGGACTACTATGGTTTCCCTTCATGTCATTAATGCACTTCCTCAGTCCCTCGATCTTCTTCTCTACACTATCCTCATTCTTCGGCATATGTTGTCTTTGAATTTTCTGGACCGACACTCCTCGCTCTTTCAGCAGGGTTATAATGATATGTCTTAATCCCTTTAGATTGCTCACCCATTCAATCAATCCGTTGGTTTCATTTGTTGGGACAACCATGTATGTTCTCATCTTTAATCCTCGTTTCCTTGTCTCTGGTTCCTTTCTAAACATTCTGTTTAACAGGTTTCCAAAGTCCATGAGCCTGCAGTCGCGTCTCAGATCGTCCTTCGGTTTGGCCAGGAAGGAGTAACGTTTCCCGTCAGAACCCCGGAGTGTGATCTTCTTGGGTTTGATGAGGGAAATCATGACCTGAATATCGTCTTCTATTCCAACAATGGTGACCACACCGTCCGGGTACGGGTTGTGCGTCTCCAGGTCCGCTTCAGAAGTGGGAGAAGTTACAACCATGTTCCGTTCTATCGGAAGAATAATGGATGAGAATCCTTTACTCCGGAAGAGTGCAGGTAGGGACGGGACAAGTTCACGACAGGATGTGTGCAAAACACCTTGAGTAGTCTTTACATCACATAAATCATCAATCTTCTCTGAGAACAATATGGCGTCGGTCAAAAACTTCGAGAGATCGCTCCGAACCCTTTTGACCTCGGCAAACACTTCCTGACACCTAGACTTACGGGTCGGATCTCTGTTTTTACTCACACAAACCAAGTGCCAAAATGCCTGCTGGGGAAATGCCAGAACAACTTTTACCATCAAAGACTTGAGAACGTTGTAGGTTTCATTGTTTGAATGGCAGATACGAGATACAATTTGTGGAAATGCAGTGAGAAAATAATATGTTGGCATTTTACTAATAGTGTTCTGGATCGTTCTGTTCAGCTTGCTTAGCTGTTTAGTCGCATGATCAACCACTGCTATGGTTAAAGTATCCCTGCTCTTCGCTACTATCGCTTCCTGAATGGTAGCCGCGAAGTCGAGCCATATTGAAAGAAGGCGCGGCATACATTCATCAAGAAAAGTCGGTCCGTAACGAAGTGATCGCAAGTAGGTTAGAGCTGCATGTGTAACGATTTCGGATTGATTTATCATCTGCTCTGACGTCATCTTCATAGACTTCTTGTCCATAAACTTGGCTTGATAGTAAAATATTTCATCGCTTGTTCTAACGATTTCTTTAGCATGCTCAAAGTGGGTTCGAACAGCTTCCTGACCAACACTTGCTGCTTCCTCAACATATCTAGCCAGGAGAAGCTTCCCACTTGCACACAATTCCCGTAACCCCGGTCCTTTTCTGTCAAGATTTGTCAGGGATACTTGAAGGTCTTTGTCATCTTTGGAAGAAAGCTTTTCCAGCGCATTCATAACATCAGGAAATGCATCATTTAGTCCTTTCTTTAGCGCAGAGATGGCTTCAGTCTTATTTCCTCTCTCCCACTTGAGTTTAGCAGATTCTAAAAATATTTGCGGATTTTCATACTTCTCCGCCTCTAGTAGAAAACTGTAGGACTCCTGCAGCTGCCCAGCCTTCCTTGCTATCTTGGCAGAGCGAAGCCAGCATTCACCAATCTCAGTCTTAACCCTTTCCCGTACCATGGCTTCTGTTGGCTTACATCTGCTATAGACTGAAACAAAACATCATTTCATACATAGATATTAAAATCTATGATGTTTTTGAAAAGGATCAATTAAAATATCCTACCTGCATTAAATATTCCACGTCTCAGTCTAAGAATTGGCTCCATATTGGTCCATGAGACCTGAGTATAGTTCAACCTGGCCTCTAGATCCTCCAGTAGAGAGCACAACCTGGAGTACAGAACCTCGTTATCTCCAGGTTTATTCAGGAGAAGGGTTTCCGTAATATTCTGAACCTCCTGAAGCATTCCTAACCGTCCAATGTAAAGATAACTTTTCTTGTAAGCACTTTGCTCCGAGCTAACTGCAGAGAGTGTTTTCAGAATATCCTTCCTAGCTGAGTGAGACTCCTGGAGAAAGAGAAATTTATCCATCTTGTATGCGGATAGTATAACCTTACTCAGGTTCATCTCCCAGGAAGGCTCCGGAGAAAACTCCTCCTTTGTAAACTCGTTGAGCTCTTGCCACTCCCCCAGCTGCCAGGCCGCCTCCGCCTGAAACGGAGCAAGGTACTTGGATAAACTCTTATCCTTGGCAATGAGTCCTGCAGCAAGACTAGCAGCTGCTGAGGGTTTATCAGTATACAGATAACACTGAATTAAACCAGTATAACCAACGTTCTCAGCTCTACGCTGACGTTCAAAGCAGCAAAGCGCATCCTGAAAGTTTCCAATTGCCTGGTTGTACAGAATCTGATTCTCCAAGGTTGGCTCTTCACGACGAACAGCAGCAACTCCAACTACGAGATCAGGCTCTTGCAAGCAGGCGAACAGCTTCTGCATGGCGTTGAGCTGGTGCTCGCTGTACTCCTGGTTCACAAAGGTACGGTCTAGATAGAAAGCAGATCTATGATATGCTCCAGTATAGAAGGATAGGTTTGCTAAACCTTCGTCAGGTATTCGGTTTATGAAGGATAAAACTGCTTGATAATGTTTATCCTTTGTAGCCTTCAGGATATCTTCAGTTCTCAGCTGATTATCAGATTTACCAAGGGAACTGATGGACAAGTTGTACTTGGCTCTCAACCATGATCGTAAATGATCAAGGATACTAAACAGAGTTTGAGCAACAAGCTTATCCGTGTTTTCTTCCACAAACCTGTCCTGTCCATCGTCTTGGGAAGCATCTCCGTCTTCGGGAAGGATAGCGTTCACCTCCTTGACGAGGATCTCTATCTCCTCATCACCAGCTCCACAGATCACCGACACTACAATATGAGGCAGGAGAAACTCCGCAGTTCGCACATCTTTCTTCAGTGCTGGGAGGCAGGAGGAGAAAATATCCTTGATCTTCGGATCATAAATATGTTCTATCAGACACTGAGTTAAGTTAACCAACCAATCTTTGTAGTTTCTCCCCAAGGTTGAACCATAGACCGGAGTGTTTATTTTTTGTTGAGGTTTCGGGGTATGAACATACATGGATCTTAATAAAGGAGAAACAATCTCTCGGGCAGAGTCAGAGAGACGTTTCATCACGTCCGCAGCAAACATATTTTTCTCTTTTCCATTGATCTGATATATCTTGAGAACTTGCTGGATAGAAAACATGCAGTTGTCCACTATAAAAGGTTCTCTTGAGCTCTGGCATGCTCGAACCAGCTCCATTATCAATCTCACACAAAAGTCCGCACTGTTCACGTCCAACAGAAAATTCTGAATCTCAACCGAGTTTGCAGAAGTATCCGGAGCAATCTCAATCCTACCAGGATCCAGAGCACCAATCCGTCCTATACAATCTGCAGAGACATATCTTAGATCTTCGTCTGGTTCATGGGAAGACATTCCGTTCATCAGTTTCTGAACCAACTCTGACACAACGGAGTCAGTTTGATCAGTCCGGAGCAATAACCCTTGAAGAGCTCCCATATTCACGTCTAGAAGGTTTCTCAGTGTGTTAAGAGTCTGATGTCTGACCTCAACAGCTTCATGATCTATATTCTTGAGAATACCAATAAGGATATTTCTGAATTCAACCTTCGCACCTCGAACTTGAACCACGATCTCCTTTAGGTCCGCTATATCCGGGAGTAGAACCATATAAGACGAAAGATCCTTAAACTTCTTCCTGTTCTCGACAAGAAGATACCGGAAGAGAGGAACAATCTTCTCTTTATCTAGGGTTACATGATAAGCCAACCCAACCAACACCTGCGGAAGAATTACTTCAAGGTCATTAAGCTCAATATTCCGGACAAATGCGTTCCACAGAGATACGGAGACAGTGTTAAATGAAGCTGATTTTCTGGACAGGTTTCCAGAGATCTTAAGACAAGCCAGGAGCGAGTGTTTAACAGGGGAGAGATGATCTGAACCAAGGAAACTACAGAGCTCGGAGAGAGACGCGAGTATATCTAGTTTCGTCTTTACAGACGTTCCTTCGTTGTTAAGTTTAGTAAGGAAAAAGGAGAGAGCAGCCATTAGATTGTGAGAAAGATATTCCTTTACGACATTTTGATCTCCAGTCCCTTTATTCTTAAACATCTCGTCTGCTCGAGCACAGTCCCTTAGGGCATGTGTCACCTTCTCTCTAGTATAAATAAAATGGGTCAATTGAAAAGAAGAAAAAAAGAATAATTTTGTGTTTTTAACACTGTTTCTTTATTACAACTACGTCAAAACATTCAAGAACATATAAAAAATAGCAGATATTACCAAGCGGTTTTGTAAACTGATGAAAATATTTGTGTTTTTTTTTGCTACCAAAACATTTTCCAAATTAAGGGCTTAGACTATTTGACCCTGAAACATGTGGAATGGGTTTTTCGTAAGATAAGAAGAATTTTAAGTTGTGAATCTAAAATGTAAATCAATAAGGTTTACCTATCATAGCTGAGAACACAGAGAAGTTCTTCTATAACCTTGAGCCTATATGATGTAATCAGAACCTTGAGTTCTATCCCCGTCTCTTTCTTCATATACCGCATACACGCTGCTAACGTATCCTTATCACTGTTGATCACAAGATGGGCGTACATCTTGGGAAAATATTCATTTATCAGAGCTTTAGGTCTCATCCGCTTCAATCCGGCCAGGGTTACCAACGGAGCCTTCAAATCCTTAATGGCTGATAGATAGAACACGGTCGGGAGAATATGATGAAGGTTCAGGATCACAAAACTATCCTTCTCCTCAACAGGTACAAGTAAATCAAGATACATGAGAATGACTTCAGGTTCCTCACTCCGAGAACAAATCTTCTCCGCCACCCAGTGAAGGACGAATGTTTTCTCCTTTCTAAGTTGGTCTTGGAGTACGGTTAGACTGTAGATAAACGAGGTTTTGTGTGTGTGTAAGCTAAAGAATAGAGAGAGAAGTTTTTTAAGAACCTCCCGCTGACTATTCAACGGAAGAACGCACTGTTGTATAGAGACGAGGGTTGGGATATATGTGTTCCAGTCCTCGTCCCTGCTCGGGTTCATCCCTAGGAGTCTGCTGATAATGTTGGAGCTAACCTGGTCCCTACCCTCTAGGGTACTGCACTCACACTCCATCAGGAATCTGATCTTGTTAGAGAATACCCATCTAAATAAATAAACCAATATCAATCAAAAGAATTAAAACAGAATTAACAAAAAGTAAAAAGGTTATAAATGTATATATAATCTTTTATGAATTAAAGAATTCAGCAAATAAACAAATGAATGAAGGGATATATGAGAGGATGAGAGGATGAATGAGAGGATGATTAAAAAAATTAATCATTGAATAAATAAAAGATTGATGAATGATGAATGAATAAATGAATGAATGAATAAATAAATGATGAATCAATAAATGAATGATGAATCAATAAATAAATGTTGAATGAATAAATGAAAAACGAAAGAAAAAATGAATGAATAAATGAATAAATGACTAAATGAACAAATGAATGAATGAATGAATGAATGAATAAATGAATAAATGAATAAATGAATAAATGAATAAATGAATAAATGAATAAATGAATAAATGAATAAATGAAAAATGTTTTAAATGTTTGGTCTTAATTTAAATTTACCAATTTTATTGTAATGTTCCAAGCTTTTATGAAAAAACTCAAAATGATCCTGCAAATGAATATTGTTGCAGAACAATGGGAGATTAAGGAGAAAAAGTCTAAACTTCTCTTCAACTCTTCCCATCTCTAGAAAGGTATAGAAAATCATAATTGGAGATAAAGACCCCTACTTTTCCCAGATGCTCAAAAAATAACAAAATTTCTGGGATTGTACACGTTAAACACATTTTTGCATTTAAACGTTTGACCGAAAGTGGAGTTTTGCTAAATATGTTTGATTTCAAAACTGAATCAAGAATCAGCTTGTATTGCACGTGCACTTCAGTTAGAATATGCCACCTAAAGGGCAGTTAGCTGCGACTTAAAAATCCTAAGGCCGAATTTTAAGAATTTAAACCACGTCGCTGAACCGCCAAAAACCGGTTCCAATTGAGCGACGGTTCAAATCTCGAAACAATTAAAATAGAATAATAACCCACCTATAAGCTTGAAGAGAGGCTGAATAGAATTAAACTCGACATTCCCTCCTTTATATTTAATTTGACCATGACACTTTCTACATACGGGGGTTAGTCCGGGTTCTTCGGATACATCCTTCTCCGAGATATCTTCTCCGCTGCTATCCATCCGGGAGAAACCATCTCCTCTGCTATCCGTTCCGGAGATATCCATCTCTGAGCAATCTTTCCTGGAGAACTCGTCCTTCTCCTTGATCTCATCCTTGACTCCAGTTAGCTCAAGTTCTACTCCTCTAGCTAGACTACACACGAGCAGTCCTGAATACCTGGAGATCTCCTCAGTAAACACTAAAAATAACAAATAAAAATAATGTTGAAAAATAATAATGAAGTTTCAGAAAGTTTAAAGATGGATATTTATACAGTATACATATAAAGCAGTAATCTCTGTTTGTCTGTTTGTTTATTTGTAAGTCCGATCATTACTCAAGAACCCCAGGACCAATTTGCCTTAAATTTTGATTTAAGAACTCGGTAGAACCAGAGGACTGTTCTTAGTTTGGTTTAAAGATTCTAAATAAAGTTAGTTTCCAGGCAAAGCTGGGTTTAAAAGCTATTACTAAAAATTATACTCCCACCCCTAAGCTGAACGAAAATTAAACATTTGCTCTACTTTTTAATACTTCAAACTGAGAAATTCATTTTTTTCCATAACATAACATAACATAACATAAAAAAACCACACACACAAATTATATATCTCTGGCTTTATAAAAGAGTACTAGCACGAGTAGCAAGAGTCCAATCAAAATTAAAATATTTTACTTTTTAATTCTGATTCCCGTCGTGATGAAGCTTACTTTTGTTTGTTTGTTTATTGAGACGAGAGATGACATCCAGAGCCAATGCAGTACAGGTGGTTCCCAGGATACAAACAAGGTTCGGTACACATCTTGGATACAAAAAGTAAATATAATATTCGTCTTGAAATTGCCTAAACAAATTGTAAGGGAGGGAGTGAAGGGTAGGGGTCATGTTAAAGCTTAGGATTGATTTTGATTTGAACCCGTCCGTGTTAAGCAAATGGATCAGGTTAGACAAAGGTTGGTTTTATTCTCTCCTACCTGACAACATACTCAGGAGTTTTACTGAGAGCCTGCTTGAAGACCTGAAGTCTCCATTTAGGTGCTACATCTTTAGGCAGTAGGGAGAGATAATATAAACCCTGATACTGATAAACCATCCGTCCTTCTCCCGGGTTCAGTCCTGGTTTCACTGCGGTCAGAACGGATAGAGATTTTCCAAGTTTTAAGTCTAGCTGAGCTAATTCCGAGGTGTAGGGAAGAGCAAGAATCCCGGCAAGTAAGTGAAGACTGGGAATTATCTCTGAATAGTTCTTGCAAGCGTTAAGAAGCAGGATCAGATAGTTTATAAGATTAAAATAGTCCTGGAATAAGGACGGTTCTGGTCCAGTCTCCAGACAACTGTAAAGAAGGGAGACTATACTTGATACTGTGGCCGGATCCAGGACAAGGTAAGATAAACCCGGCCATTTCTCCTTGCATCTTAAAAGTAGGACGGTTCCAGCTTTCAGAATTATATTACAAGTGGATAGACAGGATTCAAGGTTCAGGTCACGATGGAGAAGATCTCTTAAAAACTCGAGACTATCTAACCAAGATTTACTGAGAAGAAAATTAAATCTTGGTTCCTCAAAATCCTCATGCTTCCGTTTCTCACTTCGAGACGGGATTTGTGTAAAACAGTTCATTTCTCTCCAGGAGAAACTGATCAAAGGTTTCTCATCCTGCAAGTTGAGACCACATCGGAGAATAGATATTGTCTCTCCTTCTCCCAGCTCTTCGGAGTCGTCCAAGAATGATATCAGAAACTGGAAAAGAATGTTTCGTTTGTCAACCTCTAATTTTTGAAACCAATCAGTGTCAATGAATGATAGAACGGATTGATAAACTGTGCTCCGGAGTAAGATTGTCAAGGAAGAGTTAGATTCCAATCCAACCCAGTTTTCCAGGAACTGAAACATAGCGCTAGAAATTCTGAAGATCTGAGGCTCGGTTAAAGTCATCAGTTTTTCACAGTCATGGAGCAACTGGAATGTCTTAAGAACCAGTTTAGTCTCCATCGAAACCAGTTTCAGGTTGGTCTCCCTCGGATTGAAGATTGAGGATATGAGCTGTAAAGCTTGAGTTTTCAGTTCAACATCACTTAAACTCATCTGGATCAGACAAAACTTTCGTATTGTAAGTTCATGTCTTCGTATACAAGCCGAGATCAGCTGTATATTCTTCAGTAGGATTCGGTTCAAGGAGAAGAGAAGTCTCCGGGTTGAGTCCTGTATCCGGGTTGAGACAAGTCTAACACTATTGGAGAAGATAGAATCCTCAGGTTCCTGATCCTCTAAAATCCTACATTTATCCTCCTTTATAAACCGTCCCAACTTATCCATTTCCTTTCTACATTAAAAGCTTGAGTTTAATAAGTTTTTAATTAGGCATTTCTAAGAAATGTACTTTCCATATTTTCCAAAAACATTTTTCCAAAAACATTATTGAGTAATATTTTTCAAATTAAATTTTTCTAATAACATTTTTCCAATGACATTTTTCCAGTCTTTTCAATAACAATTTTTAAAATGACATTTTGCAATAACAAATACGATAACATTTTGCAATAACAAATACGATAACATTTTGCAATAACAAACACGATGACATATTCCAAATGATTTTTTCAAAAAATTGTAAATAAAAAAACTCCTAAATTTAGCTTTCCTAGTTACAATCTCTGCAAGGACGGAGGGAGAATCTTCACTCTTCTCCATCCTTCGCATGATGATACTCAGACAAAGCGTAAATCGGAGTAATTCTTCCATAAAATATTTCCATCTAAAATAAATAAATTAATTATTCTACATTGATAACCAGAAAACAATGGAATATGAAGACGAGATTATTGCAATAATACTAATATGTAAGTTAATTTTGTTTTAAAGCAAATAGTTTTACAATACGCTTATTAAATCACTTGTTGAGTGAAATGGGTCTGTTTACACTTCACACTTGCGGTGTATCATGATCATTGGACTTTCAAGCTATATATTGATTCTAAAAGTCGTCTTCCTTTTTTTAGAGTTTTCTGGTTATCGCTATACTGTCTCTTCATAGTTCAAAAAATAACATACTTTAAAAAAAAACCGGAACTAAAAACCATAAAATCTACCAATTAGGGTTTCCAGCGAACGAAAAATTGCGAATTTTCGCGAACATTTTCTTTCGTGTTTCGCGAAATTGAATTTTGCGAAAGAAAGCAAAAACGATGTAGAATTTCGTGAAAAAATTTTACGGACGGAATGGGAAAACATGCGAAATTTTTGCAGAAAGATTTCACCAATTTTCTGGAGACCCTACTACCGATACATTAAAAAAATTGAAAATGTTCACCTCTTTTTGTCATGGGTTCGTAGGGTTTCAAACATAATAGTTTGTAGAGCATATATCTCAGTATCCCACTCGGAGTATTCAGGGTTACTCTAAACAAGAAAATTCGAGAGACATTTTTTTTTAAGGGACTGCCAACGTTATTTCAAGTGCTGCTCAACTTAAACAGTCCTATACCCAATTCACAATGGCACCATTGTCTGAGGAAAAGTTACGAAAATGTTATTGTTATAATTGTGATTTCTTAATAAAAATTACTTGAGAGTTATGAAGCGGAGTCAAAGAAAGAAATCGTCAGAATTTAACACGTTTTAAAATAGAAAAACTGGATTGGGCTGGTTAAATCCTCTACATCAAAACATAAAAAAGAAAATCAAACCCAAAATCTTTATTCAGTTGCCTGACTCCTTCCGAAGAGAGCGGACCTATGTTATGCGGTCCCAGAATTACAGCCTAGAGGAAAGGCTGTGTTTAGTTACACATCTCATATCCCACAGGGGAAGCAAGGAATGTACAAGCCATGCACAACGATACCGGTTTTTAACTTAACCAGCTGTGAGGACTGGACTGCTATGGAAGATTCCTCTCAAGAGAGCTTCAGGGCTTACAACTTCCCATTTTCCATAATGGGGTGCAGTTAAGGGTTTCCTGACTACCCCTTAACTACTGTTTGGAAATCTCAAAATATTTTCATCTGATATCATATAAATATTTTAAATATTGTAAAATAAATATTAAAGTTATAAAATACATTGTATATTGGCTCAATATCAGAATCCTTTAACTAAGTTCATTACAAATGAATTGAGAATAAAATATTTCCAGACTTCTATTTTTCTGACACTAGACCTATGAACTCAACAATCTGAATATTTCCGATAAAAGGTATTAATTGATTGGTGTGAGGATTGGACTACGACGTGCATTTGGGGGGGCAAGGCAAGGAGTTGTGATAGATAGAAAAATAAGAGAAACAAATAAGATTGAACTTAGGCGAGCGAGGGAGAAGTATATTAGCTCTTAATGAGTACGTTTTGAACTCCTTCCCTGAATTCAATAGTTCCCGGAACCGAATTGAACCTGAAACTGAAGAGTTTGACAGAGAACATAAGAACTAAAAGCTCTGGTTCTCTGTTTCGTCTCTGGTGGCTCCTCCAGGCACGGATTCTCAGCCTGAATAAATTCATAAGTTATAAAATAAAAATATATCCAATCAAAAAAACCGTTTCGAACATTTTAAGATATAAAATCAGGGGTGCATATTTTCCTTAAAAAGTCCCCCCCTTTAAGGAAACTACTTATTTTGCCCAGAAGTTATATAAAGTTTTCCGGAGCGACAAATTTTTTCGCGGAATTGGCGAAAACAAATTATTTTTTTTTCATATGTATCAAAAGAATGAAAAAACTTGTCTTTTGTTTTCCCATTTTCATTTTATTTTCCCAATTCATCGACAATCATTTCACCCCGGGGGGAGGGGGGGTGTAATTCTGAAAAACATCCACCCCTGTATAGCACCAAGTTCTAAAATTGTTCAGAAGAACTGAAAACTTGCATCAAACTCAAATTTTTTAATCATCATATCTTTTTTTTAACGCTTTGCGTTTATTACTTTAAATGTCTGTTAAAGAATTTATTTTAAAAAAACGAGGAAAGGCGAATTTTTTGTCTCTTTATTTCTCTTTATCTCTATATTTGTCTCCAATAACAAAAACTACTTAGTTACAGAGTTGGATTAAATGGATTGGTCAGGTATTTGGTTTATGTTTGAAGATGATAATTACAGAGTTGGATTAAATGGATTGGTCAGGTATTTGGTTTATGGTTGAAGATGCTAATTACAGAGTTGGATTAAATGGATTGGTCAGGTATTTGGTTTATGTTTGAAGATGCTAGTTACAGAGTTGGATTAAATGGATTGTTCAGGCATTTGGTTTATGTTTGAAGATGCTAGTTAGTAATTATACTTTCTAATTATTAGAGATTTTTCAGCAATTTATTTAATCTAGAATTTAAAATGGTTTATTTATCTTCAGTTGTTAATTCTTCCCTAAAATACTTCCATCTAAAATTAATTAATATTAACAAATTGTCGCTGGATTATTCATAGTTTCTTAAATACTATTGTAAAAATGTAAAACAGCTAGTCAAGACCTGTAAAACCGAATAGAACTGATATGAGACACAACTACAAAAAAAACCATTGATAAAAAGTCCACTATTACAAGCTTTACACTATATTAATATATTCCTAGCATTTAAAGGGTCTGTTCACATAATTTCAAGTGCCTCCTCCATGTCCGATTGACGATAGTACCCTTAACAGTTTTGACGGGTCAAGAATGAATCTTGATATTTCTTTAGAAAATAGTCTTTTCAATTGTGACGGTTATCGCGCTAGAAACAAATGATGGAAGTTGTCAGAATTAAACACCATCAAGCTAGGAAAACGAGGATATTTTCTAAATCGTTGATCAAAGGGTACGGTTGTTAATCTGATGATATGCCCCTCTTTAACTTCAAAGTACAATCCCTTATTGTTCACTGATATTTCGGGGCTGTATTTTTTTCAGAATTACACCTGGGGGGGGGGGTAATGATTCTTGATGAATTGAAGAGACAAACTGACACATCAAAGACAAGTTTTTCATTCTTTTTACCCGAAAAATATAATAATTTCCCTGAACAATAACTTAATTTTTCAAATTCAGCGAAACCCCTCTAAAAAAACATATATAACTTATGGGGAAAATAAATGAATTTCTAAAAAGGGGGAGGGAGGAATTATTTTTAAAAAAATATACAACCGAGATGGTTTTTACTTAATAATCTTAGACATTTGACATAGCACTGATAACGAACAATATTAGTTTCTTCTAAACAAAAACAAGGTCAACCCTTTCAAAGTTCCAGGACGAAGTCACCCTTCCTATCAATGATTACCAGGATCGGTGGAAAGGATTGGATCATCCGTCCGACAAGAACGAAACATGATACACGTTCCTCCCTCTCCGTCCTGTCCAGATGGTTGAATATATCCTTAATCTGCTCCCAGCATCTGTTCTTATCCATTCTTCATCAAATCTGAAAGTTTATGTAAGGAATCTTTCCATTTGGAGAAATGAATTAACATGCAATTCTCTAGCCTTCCTTTTACTCTGCCCAAATAGGACAGAACTTAAACTTTTGATTTAAAATGCAATGTTTAATATTTATGCACCCAAAAAACATGTTTTAAATCGTGAAACTGCATTTTAAGATATCAAAATGAATTGCTTATATTAATTTGATATTTGGTGATATATCAAATTGTAAATCATCAATAAATACTATTAGTAAATCATACATTGGAAAGTTCTGTAATAGAAACCAACTCTCACAGAAAACAAACCAAGAGGGGGGGGGGGGGGGGAAGGCTGAACATCTAACTCATTAAATTTTAAAGAACACTGTTGTTCATTGTTAATGACCCTTTTCTGATGAGTATTACTAAATTACGATGATAACTTATACATTTAAACCCATTTCATCACAATTTGACATTTTTATTAAAAACTTCTTAAATCCTGTGTAGTTCATGTTAATTGTAACTGGCATTACAGGAACATTAAAACCAAGGAACACTTCAGGTACAATTTTAACTGACTTTATTTATACATGCAACCTTCAAACAATACTTCTTTAAATTCAACAAATTGTCCGTCAAAGTTGGAAAAAAAGAAATTTTTTCTTCACCGTTTTATTTTAGTTTATCCTCCTTCTCCTTATTAAATCTCTCGAGCTCCTTGAGAAACTGTGCTTTAGGTTTCATCACGGTTGGTTTCTCTCCCCTACACTTAGGACAGAACCATTTTCCTTTTGGTTTACCACTTAACTGAACACAGTTGAAATGAAACCATTCGATCGGACATAGATCGTTGTCACACCCGATCATCTCACCGTAAGAGACCTGATCGCAGAGACAATATGTCGGCTCATCAGGATCGATATCGATGTTCTTTAACTCTGGCGGGGAGGCGGATCTTTCTCGCTCAACCTTCCGCCCAGCTCCTCGCTTCTTGTGAGAGTTAGAAGGCAAGGGTGGAGCGATCATTTTCTTCACCTTTTTACCGCCAGGAGTGCTTATTTTTATATTTGTACTTTCCTCAACCTTCTCCTCCTCCTTCACTTTTTTTCTCTTCACGCCCTTCTCACTCTTCTCCTCCTTCACCTTCCCCTTCTCCTCCTCCTCCCCCCGTCCAAAGTCCAAGTTCTGACTATCATGGTCTAATTGTCTAGTTTTATTCTCAATAATGTCCGTCATGCCTTGAACTAGTTGGATCTTATCATCTCCTATATCCTGGGATGCTATGAGGGGAAGGAGCATCTTGTTAAGAAGACGCTTCTGTGCTACAGGATCTTTAGTATCTTCAAACTGTTCCACCAGACTATCCAACTCAGATAGAACATCCTGCATTATCATCATTATATAAATGGTTGGAAATAAATGTTATTAGTTGAATATATAAATGATTACGAAATTCTTAATATACCAGACGCAGCTTTTTAAAATGGTCGGAAAAAAAAAACGGTTAAGGGCAGAAAATTTAAAATAATCATTCTTTTCAAGTGCTGACTTGTGTTCAAAGAAATGTTAACAAGAAATAGAAATTATTGTTTTTTTTTCAGTGCCAAAAAAAGTTTAGAACAGTTTCCTATAATCAGTGCTAGGGATCTATATTCCATGACATATTGATCTAGATCTGCATTCGGATCCGGATCGTTCTTGTAAAAAAAAGATCCAGATCCAGTTTACTTTTTATTAGAAAAAATAAAAAATTCAGAATTTCTTCTTTTTTTTTTTTATTTGGTTGTTAGAGGAAGTGTATAGCCAACACTTGAGATATGTGTGCTTAAGAGTTAAAAAGTTTTTTTTTAATGTTTTATGGTTTTATATTCTATCGTACAGTAGAAAACCGTTAGAGGCGTTTAGATTACATGACCCATCCGCAACTAGTAACTATGATTACTAAACCTGCTGTTGTCGCATATCCAGCTCCCTGAGCCTGGTGTGAATCCTCTGTATATCATCAGGGACATTCTCCACGTAGTCCAAGTAGTCCTCGACGAAGGTTGCGGAGTACAATGCTTCAACAGCTGCCTGGTTCTGCATCTTTACCTAGATAAAAGAAATTAGATAAAATATCATTATAGTTTGTGGATCTAATTTTAACCTTTACTAGCTGAAGGGCCCGGCGTTGCCCGTGGAAACAAATTTTTATAAAAATATTTAAATTTCTTTTAATCTATTTTTTTAGTCTAACCCATGTGTGTCCACAAAAAATTTCAGCCCAATCAGTCCATCCGATTGTCCGGCTATAGGCAACATATATATATACGAATGTCTTGTTTTATTATATAGATTAAATATCCTGTGAAGAATGTCGTCTGTGGAAAATCAGAAAATTTTTCGTTGAACCAATGAGAGAATATAAGTATTAATATAAATTACAAATACCAAATATCAAGCAGATTCTGCTTATAATTCAAGTGCCCACTGGGGATATCAAGATCAAACGATCGGGATTATCGGTATCCAACACATAAAGCTCTTGGTATCTATTAAAACAAATTACCCCCCCCCCCCCACATTCTTTCAATCAAATCATATCAAGTTTCAAATCAAATCAAATGCATGGGAATAATTTGGAATAACCAACCAGCTAATTTTTTCGCTTTTTAAGTGTTTCCTAAACTTTAACCTTGAACTCACTTTCCCCAATATATTTGAATCATATTGGGAGGAAAAATATTTTTTTTTTTAGAAGGGATTTGATATTTTAACAAATTGTATTGCAATTAATGCAATCAAATTAGTAATAAAACTTGGATATACTATGAGATCTTTTATATACCCTTTATGTTTTACCAAAGTCATTTAGTCAATTGGTATATAAATTTCGAATAGGGGGGCCGGGGTAGCAGAAATGTAACTGCATTGATCCCCTAGATAATTTTCTTACACTCAAAATTTTTCCACAGGATGAGACTTGATTGAACGGAATATTTTGATACGTTTTCTTGCATTCAGTGTTCCATGCAGACCAAAAATGGATTATTTCTGTGTTTAACCATATAGTAAACCATCAAGAAGAAACCAAAAATTAAGCTTCAAATTGTCATATTTTTAGAGTTTTGGGTCGTCTTTACAGTCTCATCCTTTGATGGGTAACCCTATATATCTTATTTTTAATGGATCACCTAGTGTTTTAATCTCTTCCAGAACGAACTAAGATGTCTGATAGTGATATTTAAAATTGTATTTGTACCGAAATTTTGAAGATTTGCATAATCGTCATGTTCACAACTAATTTTGAACACGTTCTAAAAAATGTTTCAACTTAAAAAAAATATTTCTATATATACAAAATGAGAATTAAAATATTATCTCTTTATGAAAAGTCGGTATTATGAAATATTGTTTGAAGGAAAACTAGTCCTGTCCCCGTCCTTTACTCGTCTTCGTCCTGTCCTGATGTGTGCCAGGTCAGCCTCTCCTCGTAGAACTTGATCACGGTCTGAGGACACTTCACGTTGGCCTCCCTGGCCGGTACGAGGTCGGCCTCGTCACTGCTCTTCCACTTGATCAGGAACATCAGCTCTCCGGAGGAATCTGTGGCGCCTAGTATAATAACAGGAATCAAATTTAATTAATTGTAAGAAGTAGTTAAACCACAAAGATTAAGTTGAACCAATTCTCTTCTGAATTGGTTTATGTTTAAAAGAGGTGGTGGGTCATTTTTATTGAAAATGTATATAAAAGTTTTCAGTTAAGTTTTGTTTAAGTTAGCAGAAAAAAACTTTAAAATTTATATTTTGTATTTTCAATAAAGTGTTTAATAAAGTCTACTTAAAAGGAGTGACTGGCTAGACATTGTATATGAGCCGAGAGTGCAGTATTTGAAGAAATAATTTTTTAGTATTCATCTAAGGAATCTGAGACCTTTAAGACGTTTAAACGGTATATAATTGCAGAGAAAGAGCGGATATTTGATCTCAAGCATTCTCCCGGTTTGTTCATTTCGGAGGATACACTTAAAGAATCCTTAAGACTTTAAAAACTTAAAATTAAAAACTTTAGTGTCCACTGACCAATAATTCTCTCTGGATCAAGACCTCTGTCAAATCCTCTAGCTCTCTCCCCTTCCTTCCTCTTTGCCTTTGGTTCTCCCCCAGCGATCTTCCTCTTCTCTGGCTTCTTCGAGTTCTTTGTTCTGGCAACCTCGAAGGCCTCTATAAGCTCCGGACAGTCCAAATTTTCCTGAAATTTTTTTTTAAAATTGTTGATTTTCAAAATTTATTGAAAATGGTATATTGTTGAAGGCTAGTTTTTTTAATTTTGATCATCCTTAAACATTTCATGTGGTCATGTGAGGTCCCACACACAATTTTGGCACGATTGGTTCAGCCGTTTTGACGTTTATTGGATATAAACAGACGAACAAAGAATATATTTAGATATTCCTAGATTCGATTTCAATATTCATTTATACAATGTGGTTAATTGTCCCATAATCAGATTTTGAAATATTTTAATTTTTAACAATATTTTTAAGTGAAAAAATTAAGTATTCATGAAAAAAAATTAATTTTTTAAATTTAAATCCAAATTTTATTTAATTTTTTTATTTCACCTTTGGTTCCCATGTGTTGTCATCGTCTCCGAATCCTCTCCACTTGAGTAAATATTCAATCTTTCCGTTCTTTCCAATTCTTTTATCCAGAACCTTCTCCACTGAGAACTCCTCCTCTACGACGGGCTCCCCGGCAACAGCTGCAACAGGCTCAGTCATTTTATAGATAAATGTGAATAAGTCTGAAAATATTGAATTTTTAACTCGACAAATTATTAAATCACAGATGTCTCATATTATTATAAAATATCAATGTCATTTTTTATGTTATGTAAAGATGTATAACACAAGCGGAAAAACTTCTATAAATGAATAATATAGCAATTATTTATATAGTAAATTGAGTTATGTATACCAAGTACATTAATGCAAATAAAGTTGTTCAAAATGTATATCCCAGAAAACAAACAAATAAATAATATAATGCGAATTTTTTTAACTTAAACAAATCTTAAATCTATATGAAATCCGATGATAAAGCGCTAGTAATAACTATTAGAGAGAGCTTCCTCAAACCTATTTTCATCGGCCTCAGAAAGAACCTCGACGCTGGAACTGTTGTTAAGAGAGTCTGTTCCGTTGCTAGATTCTGTCGTGCATCTTTCTCTTTCAAGCAGTTTCCCTGTTATAGGGACCGGGAGACTTTTCAGCTTTCCATTCACAAGAGTTAACTTATCACAACTTAGATTCTCAGGTTCGATTCCAAACACATCCAACACAGCGTTAGGTGCATCAGGATCATCTTTCAACATATTGTAGATTCCCTCAGCTTTTCCGAGTATTTGATCCAGGTTTATCCGGTGTGACATATCGTTCACGTGTTTCAGTATCTCCGTGAACCCGTACATGTTCTCGACTATAGAACTCTTCTCCGAGTCTAACAATGCTACACAGATAAGAAGATGGAAATTCTTACAAGGTTTACTTGTCCAAAGAACCTCCCATAAACGCATTGTGTCCGAGTAGTTGAACTCTCTCTTGAACCAGATGAGGAGCCAACGGAAACAGAAGAACAGGTTTCCAGACTCCTTCGACTCCAGGTAGTTATAGAAGCATATGTCTACATACTTCAATATCACAGTCAGCTGAGCGAGTTGATTCTTCATTCCACCCTGATCAAATTCAAAATTGGTTGCTACCTTCTCCATGAACCCGACAAAGCACCAGAAGGCATCAACCTCATTCTTCATCACATACAGCAGGGGAGAGAGCAGATCACTCATCCCCTGAACGTATCCTAAGTCGAAATTGTACATCACGTAGGTCATTAGAATCTCATGCAGCAGTTGAACATTTGGGTTTCGATCGTTGGCGTAGAAAGGATGAGTTCTATCCGTCCGACCGATATCCTTTTCTATTTGAGTTTTCCGTTCCCTAAAACCAGTAAACCTATTCTGCTGATCATCTGACATGGACTTCCATTGGAGTTTCATCCGATAGTACTCTTCAACTCTTGTCCTCCGGTTGATTTCTCTAATTTCATGAGTGTGATGCCATTTGTAGAATCCCAAAAGATATTTCCAAACATCAGAACGAATATTGTCCTCAACGCCTCCTCGGGATATTTTGTTGAGAAGGGATGAAACGTCTTCAACAATTCCGTCCTCGTTTATATGCAGCTCCCAGTCCAGTTGACAGACAGGAGAACCACGGTTTCGGACATCAATACACTTCAGCAAAGATATTGCGTTATTCACAAGCTGCCAATTGTCTCCGCCGTCCTCTCCATGGCATTCTAGACTCCCCCCGACACCTTCAGATTGAAGCAGTTCAGCCATCTCAGCCTCAGGACGGTATTCCTTCTCCAGAGGACTAAAGAGAAGTCTATCTGCAACTTTGCTCAGGATTGTTAAACCAGCAGTGTATGGATCCTTGTGAATTTCTCCAATAGTTCTCCATACCGTCTCTCGGTTTGGACGGTCAAAAAGGTTGAGCTCACTGAGAGATTGGTCCAATGCTGCAGTCCTTTTATCCGATAGCAAGTAAAGATCACTATCAGTAGCCGACCGACGTACTGCCATTTGACGGTTTATTGTTCTAATAAAACTATCTGAACTTTCTTCCACGAACAAAAGCGTATTGTGCGTAGTTCCGTCTCTCATCAGTAATGTTACTGCGTTTCCATCATCGACCAGTCTGTAGGATCTAACCTCATTTAACTCAGCCGTCAAACGAAGGTTAGCGTCACTAGATCTGTTAATTGATGTATTCCTTTTAAACTTGACAGAATCCTTGCTAGGGGTTTGAACCTGGTCCGCAATAACTGCCCATTCAGTAGAATCTGGAGGACTTCCAACAATAAACTGTTCTGGAAGTTTTGCGGATTTCTCTGTCTCCCATTTTGTAACTTCCTCTTTCTGAACATCATCCTTCTTCTCCCACGTGATGAAGACGCCGTGCTTAGTATCTATAACGGAGAGAAGACCGTAGTGTAAACCATTATCCTTTGCTGTCTGGAGTAGGATACCATCCTGCTCATACAATATAGTCCCTTTAATCTCAAATTCACGAAACTCTCGGGATCCCGGATTTCCATTCATAGTTACAATTCTAAATAACCTCTAGCTAGCTACACACACAAATATTGAATTTGTCCTGCTGAAAAATCTTTTTTCTTGAATTGTCCGTCAGGCACATTTCTCTGTCCGGCGTTAAATCAAAATTTCGGTATAATCCGCTTTACTTGAATCTGAAATATTAATAATATTTACTACAAATATGTAAAAAGTATTATAAACAAATTTTAGATCTGATAAAATCTAATGCACGTTAGAAAGATCTTATTCCTATTCAATTATGAAATTTCAACAAACAAGAAATTTTAGAGATGAGTCCTTTCTTTTGGTCTGTCCTAAAGAACGATTTTTGGACCCCCCCCCCCCTATCAGTTTTTTACATGACCTAGATTTTTAACTATTTTAACAAAAAAAAAATTTATTTTAGGTTAGACCAATTTACGGGCCGAGCGCTAATACTAGGACAGGCTAGGGGCCGAGCGCTGCGGCCAGGACATGCGTTCAACTGTCCCAGTATACGATTTTTGGACCCCCCAGCCCCCCCTCATATCAATTTTGTACATGACCATTTATTTTTCAGCAAATTTATTATTATTTATTTTTTTGTTATATAGGATTAGGTTAGGTTAAGATACTTTCTGGGCCGAGCGCTGCGGCTAGGATGGGCTAGGGGGCCGAGCGCTGCGGCCACACTTTCTGGGCCGAGCGCTGCGGCTAGGATGGGCAAGGGGGCCGAGCGCTGCGGCCGCGGGTTAGGTTAAGTTAAGACACTTCCTGTCAGACCCATGTACAAAATTCGTATACTAGGAAATTACCCAAAATTAGTATATATTTAGGAATAGGTTAAGACACTTTCTAGACCAAGCGCTGCGGCTAGGGGGCCGAACGCCGCGGCTAGGAAATGCTAGAGGGCCAAGCGCCGCGGCTAGGACAGGATAGGGGGCCGGACGCTGCGGCCACATGACCAATGACACCCATGATGTACAAAAGAGATAGGAGGGGGGGGGGGGGTCCAAAAATCGTTCTTAATAGGAAATTACCCGTTCTTTCACAGCTTATTGCATCATAAATTATCATTTGACGTTGAAAATTAAATTTTTCAGAGAAAATTGCACAAAAAATTTCAGTAACATTCCATGGAGATAAAAATTACATCAGAATTACTTAACTGTATGATAAAATTTTACTATTGCACGTTATTGCGCCATTCGGTTCCTTCAACATAAATCTTATAATTTAAAACGTTTACATAGAATTCAATTAAAATGTCTCTATTTCAATAATACAAAGTTGTTTTCTGAATAATATTTTAATTCTTTTCTACAGAATCTGTAAAATCGTTTCTTTTTCTTTTCAGTTGCTTTGCTTGTCCCCGCTCACCCCTACTAGTACTACTGTAAAATCAGGTTTGGGATGGTTGGGTTTGGAAATCCATCGGAGTTTTAGAACAGGGTTCAACGCAAGTTTTCTTTTAAAATCAATCAAATTTAATTTAATTATGATTTGATTGATTAGAATAAAATTATCGTTCATAATTTTTTTGTTTTGACTTAGGTTAAAGTATAAACCCTGTTATTGCTTTCTCCCGTTCAGCTGATTTTTCAAGATTTCAGAAACCCCCGGGTGGGTTGGAAAATTTAAATTTCTAATATTTCTTGTTATATTTGGTGAAGAAAATTTGTCTTAATTATAGCCGTTAAAACTTTTCACGTATTACTGAAAGTTTTAAATCAGTTTTTTCATTGCTAAATGCTCTTTTTTTGGTCATTTGAAAGGTCCGAAGCCAAAAATGCACACTGCAAATTATAGTTGTCTAACGATTTACATGAAAGATAAGACATTATCGTAAAAGACAGTTATAAATCATCTTTATCAATTTTCTTTCATGTCAGCCATTTTAACATTTACAATTAATCTATTGTTCCAGACGAATGATTACGGGTGTGTAGGATGATGAAAGGGAAACTGATGAAGAGTTTGTTCCGGGGAAAGGGTGGTGTGCCGAGAACTCCATGTCCCAACGGCTCCGACGAGGGAGAGATGGACGGGGACCGAGTATCACGTCTCCGGGCCCACTCGGATGAGCAGAACTCGAATAATTCTCTGGATTCTCCGAATTCTGAGTCCCCGAAATCCTGGCCCTCGACATTTGCCACACCCATGAGCTACATCAAGGGGAAGAAGAGAAAGCACAGTAGGTTCCTCTCCTCCCCCCTGGAGCATGATAGAAGTGATGACGTATTCGGAGCAGAGGAACATAATCTCAGCCAGAGTATTCATAGTGACTCCGCCTCATTCATGTCGTTTAACAACTCCCCGGCCCCAGGGGAGGAGGAGGGGGACGGAGGAGTGCCAAGTAAACAGAACCATGTTGACCAGGTTAAACTACAGCAGCTCCAGCTCCAGGTTGAGGTACAGCAGAAGATGATTGCTGAGTATGAGTTAGAGAAGAACAAGAACGAGGCACGGATTCAAGTCCTGAACCAGGAGCTCGGAGACAAGAATAACGAGGCCAAGGTGTTAAGAGACGAGATCCATGGAAAGAAAAGACTTGAAATCCAGGTTCAGGATCTAAGAGAGAGATTACAACATCTGGAGTCGGAAAATAGAAACTTGCAACATAGAGTTAATGAAGCGTCCCCCTTAACCGATCATCAGAAGGAACTTCTTCTTCAAAACAGAATAAAATCCTGCTCCGCTCCTCCCAGTATAATGGCCGGTAGTCTAGACGGTCAGACCGCAGGTCTAGCGGATAGTGGAGAGGAGTTAAGTTGTGAATGGGAGATTAAATCTAGCGGTGGAAGCTCTGTACACAGTCAAGTTAGTGTAGCTTGTCTCCAGGATAAGCTGGTTCAGATGGAGGAGAATAACTACTCAACCCACGAGGAGCTCCAGGCTACCCTCCAGGAACTAACTGATCTCCAACATCAGCTGGAGGAACTACAATCAGAGAACCGAACTCTGGCCGGAGAAAAGAGTCTTCTTTATGAATCGTTGTGTGAGCAAACAGAGAAACTCGAGGCTTGTAGGAGCCAGCTTGAGTCTACTCGCCAGCTCCTGCTGCACAAAGAAGACAGTGGATCAATGGATAATCCTGAACGTGAAAAGAAACTAATCGATGTACTAAAATCCGCTCAGGAAGAGCGTGATCGATTGGAAAGTAAAGGAGCTGAGCTGACCGCTACTGTAGACGAGCTGAGGGCTGCTGCCGAGGCCGCGTCTAGAGAAATGATTCTGGTCCAGGAGAGGATGGCGTTCTTGGAGCGAACTCTACACACGGTTAGAATGGAGAAGGAGCATGCGGAGCGGGAGCTAAATGATCTTAAAAACGATCTAAGTTGTAAAAGCATGGAGTTATCCAGACTTCTAACACTAAACGAGAACTTTAAAACTAAACTTGAAGAACTAGAAGCTGCCAGGGATGCTGTTGATAAAACCGAGATTGAAGCTAAGCTGGATGAGTTGAGACGGGAGAAGGACGGATTGGAAACTCTACTCAACGAGGCCAGTCAGCAGAGAGATAAACTAGAATTTGAGATCAGTAAACTCAAGGATTCAACCAACAACCAGAAACAAGAACTAGAATTCCAACTTCAAGCTAAAATTGATGAAATTGAAATACTCAAGGTATATATTTTCAATGTTAACCNACCTTAATACATGCACAAAATAACTACGAACAATATAAAAAAAATTTGCTCCAGATCATAAACTACTAAATTATCTATTTTGGCTAAAAATTACTTTTAGAATTTTATGATTTATTTAAGCTGAGAAGGGTAGGCGAAATATATAATACATATGATCATTTTAATATTTTATTAGTATTAAAATATTTAAATACAAACAATAACACCTGAATCGTATTTTAATTCTTTGAGAAAAAATGATCATTAATTTTAACAGTTTTAGAATCAGAGAAAGTTCAAAATAAATGCAAAATGAAGCGAATAAGAATTATTTTTACAGGGAAATTAATGGTGTATGTTTTTAGTTGGAGTTTTTTTTAGATAATTTGCTGTTGTAACTTTTCGTTTGTCTAGACCAAGGCTGCGAAGGTAGGAGAGGAGCGGAGCTGTTTACTCTCTGAGCGAGAGGAGCTTCAGAACTCTGTAGCTGAGCTCCAGGTTAAGTGTCAGCATCATCTTACAGATAAAAGGGAGCTGAGAGCATCTCTCTCAGAAATACAGAAAACAAATTCAGAAATGCAGGTTTGTATAATTTTAGTAAATACCTTAACTATCACGTTGTTGTTGTTTTTTTTCAAATAAATAAAAGAAGAATGATTTCTCTACAAAATTGACACCCCTTGATGATATCTATTGTCTAGTCCCGGTTGGCTGAGATAGAGTCCCAGCTGTCAAATGAGAAGACCCGACGAATATCTGATGCTGAAGAATGGAAACAGTTTCAAGCTGATCTACTCATGACAGTTCGCGTTGCTAATGATTTTCAGGTAATTTCAGATTAATTTTTAAACACATCCACCACCATGCACTGTTACGTCCATTTACTTTAAAGATATTTTTCTTGTGCAAATAACCTCTGTCATAAATTAAAAAAATGTTTATCTTGCAAAACTTTAAAACACCCCGCACAGCGGTGCGGCGTACTAAGATATAAAACACGTAATTTTCTTTATTACTATTTTTGATGTATAGAAGCTCATAAGTCAGAACTTTTGCGTCATAAATCTCAGGATCAAGCATTGATCTCAATCTTATCCAGGCCTACTGATTAATTTAGTGCCTCTTCAATATCCTGTGGTGGATAAACCCTGCAGCAGGGGTGTATAAAGAGAAAAAGAGAACGAAAAAATAAAAGGAAAAGGGGAAGGGTAACTGCGGAAAAAGGGGAATGGTATGAAAGGGGGAAAGTTCGGGAGGGAAGTGGATAGGTAGGGAAGAAGAATTAAAAAACTTAAAAATTTCACAAACTCTCCTCCCAAGAAAAATTATGGGAAATGAATTTCAAGAAACAATAAACTCCTGGACTGACAAATAATCAATCCCGACTTTTTTTTTTGACTGAAAGTGAAAAAAAAATTCCCTGCGGCGCCATTTATGCTTTTTAAGATGCATTATTTTAGGGATTCTTATGCACTGCAATATAAATATTTAAAATTATGTCTTTTTAGTTTCGAATTTATCGAATTTGGGAAAGGAAATAAAAAAAATTGAGGAGGGGGGTAAAGAATAAAAAAATTGGAATAATATGCACCCTTCCCTGTAGTAATAACTTGAATTGAGGAATCAAGCATTAATTCTCAAATTTCAAATTGCTCAGTGCTAGCAATCGTGATCAAGATTTTAAGATTTATGAAATCGACCCAAAAATTTGTGAAATAATTATTTTATTTTACAGACGGAGGCCCAGTCGAACCTCGAGGCCGTGACGAGTGAAACTGAGCAGCTGCGTGAGAAAATAAGAAACCTTGAGGTTGATAATGACAGGCTGAGACTCGAGGCTATTGCTCAACCTCCCCGAACAACCTCCGTTACAACTTCTCCAATTCAGGTAGAACCTCTTCTGCACGTTGTCAACAACATCATTATGCCCCCTTCCCCCTGGTTCGAAGATTCAGTGATGGGTTTGGTTCATTTATCCTCAGTCTTGGGATTCACGGATTATCCGGACTCGGGAGTCATTTTCAAATTTTTTTTACTTTGTTGAATTTTCAATATTGTTAAGGTTTAAGAAACTTTTTGGATTTCAAGCTTTTATAGTCAAACAATATTAATTTGATAATCATAAAGACAAGTGAGAAAAAAAAATACCTATTCTTGGATATCAGAAGATTTAAAACTTCCAAATCAAAAACAATCTTTAAAATTTCGTTGATTATCGAACAATTTAGTAACAAAATACTTGCTTTGATATCTCTTATCAAATCTTTTTCTCAAAGTTCAAATTAACAATCGGCTTCTAACCTAGTAAATTGATTGAAACTGACATTTTAAGAATTTACATACGATAGAAATTTAATTACTATTCCTGTTTAGACGTCTGAAGGATTGAGTAGTTTAAGAAACAAGTATCTAGCAAGAGCTCAGGATAACAAAGCAACTGTCAAGGGATTAATCGATTCTATAGAGAGTGCTGCCAAGGCTAAAACTGCAAATTACTCCCGAACTTCCTCAACCCCAACCATGCCAACCCTGTCTCCGATATCGGAGAATCCGGCCAAACCCGTCTTTGCTCCGTCCTCTCCGACCCCGAGCAAAGAACCTCTGGCCTCCTCCGCCTCTCCTCTCATCTCGGAGTCAGATTCTCCGGTTTCCATTCTTACAAATAAGAATTCTACTCGCCAGGTTCGAGTTTTCGATTCCTTCTCCGGAGCCGACCCCCTGGCTAGCCTCGTGAAGAACGGAGGATCAAAACGTAACGCTTTGCTAAAATGGTGTCAGAGCAAAACCTCTGGTTATGTTGATGTTGATATAACCAACTTCTCCAGCTCTTGGAATGACGGGGTTGCGTTCTGTGCCCTGCTCCATACTTACATCCCGGAGAAGATCCCATACTCAACCCTTAATCCTTGTGAGAAGAGGAGAAACTTCACAATTGCCTTCACTGCCGCTGAATCTGTTGGGATACAAACTATCCTCAATCTAACCGAGATGGTTTCAATAGAGCGTCCTGACTGGCAGCAGATTATGACATATGTCACTAATATCTACAGACATTTTGAAACCTAGACAAATCAATTTTCTAATTTTATATTTTTTGATCGAAAGAAACTGTTGGCTGTACCCATACATCCGTGACAATATCCGGCCTATTCTCTAAACATGAGAGAAAATAATTCAATATTTTTTAAATTATCTATTCAACTAGTCTCCAACACATTGTTGTGTTATGCCATAATTAATATATTTAGACCCTTTGTCTAATGATGATTCAATCCGTAGTTTATCTCTTGATTCGGGCTTCAAAACCCTTGCGGAAATAATAATTTCAGATAAAAAATTGAATTTTGAATTTAGATATTTTCCCGTTTTAATATTTCGCTTGAAGGGACCGTAAACGTAATTTAAAGTGACCTACTTTTAAAAAGGGTGGCATGTCCGATTCTCAATGGTGCCTTAGAAACTCCTACATGAGTACCTATGTTCCAAACTTAGAAACCTCTACACGAGTACCTATGTTCCAAACTTAAAAACTCCTACACGAGTATTTATGTTCCAAACTCCTATACGAGTACCTATGTTCCAAACTTAAAAACTCCTACACTAGTACCTATGTTCCAAACTCCTATACTAGTACCTATGTTCCAAACTTAAAAATTGTTGAATTCAATTACTGAAAGTTATAAATTCTTAGATAAAAAAATAAGGACGTCTTGGGTTTATCGGGTACCGGTGTGAATCAGACATGGCACTCTGTAGGGTGACCTTAAACTTCGTCGACAGTCTGTATAATTAATGTCAGATGTATTTGTAAGATTCTTCCTTCATTATTTTTATTGTTGTTGGTTAAGGGTTGGAAGGTGTTACGTATTATGTATTATAAATCTGAAAAAGTGCTTTTTTACTTCATGTTTCTAAATATTTTGTGATAAATGTTTCAAGATCTAAAAGATTAATCTCTATAATGCATTTATTTGGTTCTGAACGCTATTTTTCTCAAATTACTTATTGCATTTCAAATCTCAAAAATATTGTCCATTTAAAAATAGTTTTTTTTACGCTTGCATTAACGGAATTATGTCTCAAAATCACTTAATAACGGGGTTTGAATAATTCAAGAAGTATCCTCCCCCCCCCCCCTTCTCAAATTGTAAACTGTTTTACTTTTTTATGCTTCAAAAAAATCATCAATTTTGTCTGAAAAAAAATCTTATTGATTTTTGTGTGTATTGCAGTATTATTGAGAAAATGGTTCTTTTTATATCTTTTTACGAAAACTTGTTTTTCCCAAAAGTGTTTTTGGCAAATATAATTCCAACACATGTCTAATACAGAAGAATATTGCAATTATAAAACGGAATTGAAGATTTAGAGCTATTTTTATGCATTAAAAAACAAGTGCTATTAAATTCTCCTGCATATCTAAATATATTCACTATTTTCTAAATATATATATATATATTTCTAGTAAATTTAATTTGCTCCGGTCGGATATTTGTTGTAAACTGAACAATAAAACTCAATGCTTCTCTATCTTAAGTAGTAAGATGTCAAGGAACATTTGAACAGATTTATTGTCCAGATTGCGGAGATCGGGTAAATAATTCTGGACTTCCAAGAACTCCATGCCTTTGTTTACATATTAATTGTACTGCAGCTCAGGGAGGAATATAAACAAAATTTAGTCTGAGCATTTCTGCGTTGGTTTACAATTCTCAAGGAAATTTTAAGCACACTTCATTAGTAAACAAAGCTTTGTATATTTCTTGGTTTAGCGAATTCTGAGAGAATTTTTTGCATGATATTGCAATTGCAAAATTATAAAGAAACGAGGGAAAAAATTAACAGAATTAAAAAGTTTTTTTAGATAGAAGAATAACTACTCTTCGTTGTTGATACTCAGAAAGCAGGGCTAAGGATCCATTAATATCGATCCGAATCCGCACTGGAAAAAAAATGGATCCGGGTCCAGGTCATTTCTTTAAGATTTACTGAATTGTTTTAACAAAGCAGAATTTTCAAATTTTTTGTTTAGAGGGAAAAGTGATCTTTAAAACCTTAAACTTCTGATGATAAGATTTTTAACTAACGGGTAGCTTGTATTTAACTCAGACTTTTTGGTGAAAGAGCTTTAAAAAAACATAGAAAAAGGGGGCAAATATTTCTTACAATTTTTTTATTTTACTTAAATACAAATGATGCCCATATGCAAAATTTCATTCAGATTCCTCAGAAAATTAAGACAAGAGTCCCAAGCGTATTCAAATTGGTCAAACGTACCTTCACCTTTGATTAAAGTTATCATTGAAGATAATTTTCGAAAGCATAAGAATGTATTTCAAGTTTCTATTGTATGTGAGAACATAGATTCAGCCTGCTTTCAGACAGTCTCATCAATCTTTAATGTGGTAAACTTTGAAGTGTCGCGACGCCTAGGGCTTGAATTTAAAATTGCATTTGAGGTAAATTGAGGGCTTATTAACAAAAGAAGGATTTTATAATTGGTGAATTGTTACAGTTAGGAATCGTTACTATCCGTTTTTTAGATATTCAAGGATTTTTGGCTTTGATAAAGCTTATCAGAATTCTACTTAGTCTTCCGTAATTAAAAACTTTATTTTCATCAGTTTTCTTTCATAAAATTAAGCAACATTTTTACACTGAGCCAAGATAGAAAACATGAACGAAGCAGAATCAAAATCGTCCAGGCATGACTGCCAAAGGAAAAATTTGCATCGTGTTATGAATACAAACTTTATACAATTTTGAAGTATGTTTATCTTATTAGATTTTAGAGTTCTTATACTCTGAATGTTTAAAAAACGGATTAAACAAAGTCCAAGTTTATGTAAGGTAGTTTAGCAATCTCATTGGCTAAAAATTTGTTTTTTAACATTTTAGCATTTAAACCAGGTCTTGATTGAACTAATTGAACCGGATTCATAATTTTCCAGCTATAGATTTATTTAATAATTGAACCTACTTTTTCACTTTCTCTCTCTCATATCACTTTTAACTAAAAAAAAAATTACAAAAATTTTGGCTTTTTTCAGGCCGGCATTGTATTTAACATTACAATAACGTAATTGGTAACTACAGGGTCGGTAGTTGCTCTAGTCTAGAGATTAGGGTGTGTCAGTTTTATTCTGCTATGGAAGAGTCTCGGAGAGAGAGAGGGAGAAGAATGTGTCCACATCGAATAGGTTGGAGGGGGGGGGGGGGCGTTCCTTAAATACTCGTGATTGTTCATATACTGGAAGATTAGGCTTGTTTAGTTTACAGTGTACAGTAAACTATGTACATTGTACAACGGTAGGAAAGGTTCTGGGTTCTCCCCTCTCCAGAGTAATGATTGAACCCCGTGTTAGGTTCGTGTCTGGAGATGCCAGGTTTACAACAAGTTCCTCTATAGATATATAATATATAATTGTAAAAATTCATACATATTGACTAGCTCAGCTCTTCGATTCTATGTTATTAAAAAATTTCTTTGTGGGAACCCCAGCTCCGGGTACTGAGTCCGGCTTGAGAACCTTCTCCGTCCCGCCTATAGACAAGCCGAACTTGAGGCCCTGGAGACCCGTCACCATGCTCTGCTTCCCGGACTCCAGAACCTCCTTCACATCCCCTCGCTTCCCCACCTCCTTCTTTACGGGAACCACGGGTTTGTTCGGAGGGACAGGAGGAGGTACCCCCTTCCCTAGTCCAGGTTTTCTCATTCCGGAGGTTACAGTCTCCGGAACAGGTTTTCTTGCTCCTCCGGGACCTCCGACAGGTTTAACCCCTCCGATCGGTTTTGATATCTAAAAAAATCATATTATATTTCACTCTAAATGGTATTCAAATATGTTAATAATATTATTTTTTACTCAAAATAGAATTTAATATATACAAACAATATTATCTTTAACTCAAATCAATATTTGAATAAACAAATAATCTCATATTTTACTCAAATTGATATTTGAATAAACTTATAATCTTATAATTTACTCAAATTAATGCTTAAATATTAAACAGTATTATATTTTACTCAAATTAATATTTAAATATTAAACTGTATTGTATCTTACTTAAATTAATGTTTAAATATTTAACAGTATTATATTTTACTATTAATGTTTAAATATTGAACATCAGTATTATATTTTACTCAAATTAATGTTTAAATATTAAACAGTATAATATCTTACTCAAATTAATGTTTGAATAAATAAATTATATTGAAAAGAACACTTGAAGTTAAGACTGAAAAGGAAATATTACAAGAAACTTTTTTTTAACTTATTAAATTTAATAAAGTATTTTATGGTATTTCTGTAGAAGAATATCAAAATATATATCAAATAATCCTATTTATACATTTTATTTAAAAATATTTTGAACATTTAAATTAAATCTATAAAAACACTTGAAGTTGGGAATGAAAAAGAAATATTAAAACAAAAATTTTACTTATTAAATTTTGATATTAATAATAGTATTTTTCGTGTGGAAGCCTTTCTCTTTAAACATTAAATAAATATCTTGTTACACCTGCTAGTCTTAGAAATATAAATTCTTTTTAAATTAAAAAATATTTTAGGGTTTGAAGAAGGTTTGACGTCAATATGAGAAAGTATGGAGAGAAGAGCTTTTGTAGGACCAATGAATAAGAATACACTCAGATGCAGGGTTCACGGGTAGTTGTAATACATTTGAATTTCCGAGCCGGGTCAACCTTTCTGGTCCCAGTTTGTACTGTACCTAGCTATATGGACAGGACATGCCGGTGCAACAAGGTTGACGCGGTCAGACTTTATGCTTCATAAAGGATGAATTTACTTTTACTAAAGGGGCAGAGGTGCGTGGGTTACCCACATAAGGTTGAGACTTCAGAGACGATTGTACGGAATTTGTTTTCTTACACACAGGGTTCCTTGCAGACCTAAACTGGCTTATTATTGTGCTTAATAGTAAAGTAAACCATCAAAATACTCAATTAAATGATAAAACCAAAATGAAGCTTTAAATCGTGATATTTTTTAGAGTTTTGTGTCGTCTTTACAGTCTCATCCTTTGTGGGTAATCCTGAACTTGGTGAACTAGGAAATTGAAATAAACCGGATTGGAACCTAGGACCTAGGATATTAGATACTAATACCAGAAGGATTAAAAATTATGAATTTGAAATGCTGGAAAATACATTTCATTGGCTAAAGGATAAAATAGGAACTAGGATAATAGATAAAATAGGAACTAGGATAATGGATAAAACAGGAACTATAGGATAATAGATAAAATAGGAACTAGGATATTAGATAAAATAGGAACTAGGATAATGGATAAAAAAGGAACTAGGATAATGGATAGAATAGGAACTAGGGTAATGGATAAAATAGGAACTAGGATAATAGATAAAATAGGAACTAGGATAATGGATAAAAAAGGAACTAGGATAATGGATAAAATAGGAACTAGGATAATAGATAAAATAGGAACTAGGATAATAGATAAAAAAGGAACTAGGATAATAGATAAAATAGGAACTAGGATAATAGATAAAATAGGAACAAGGATAATGGATAAAAAAGGAACTAGGATAAAATAGGAACTAGGATAATGGATAAAATAGGAACTAGGATAATGGATAAATAGGAACTAGGATAATAGATTAAATAGGAACTAGGATAATAGATAAAATAGGAACTAGGATAATAGATAAAATAGGAACTAGGATAATAAATAAAATAGGAACTAGGATAGTAAATAAAATAGGAACTATAGGATAATAGATAAAATAGGTACAAGAAGAGTAGATAAAAAAATAAAATAGAATTTAAGTGCGTAAATCATAATTGTTAATTGTCCGCCTGTTTGTTTGTATGTCAAATTATAACTCCTGAACCCCTGGACCGATTTGCATTAAATTTTAATTGGGGAACTCGGTAGAACCACAGAAATGTTCTTAGCTCGGTTTGAACATTTTCAGTTGTTATGGTGGACATTTCTTGTTAGTTTTCAGTTGTTATGGTGGACATTTCTTGTTAGTTTTCAGTTGTTATGGTGGACATTTCTTGTTAGTTTTCAGTTGTTATGGTGGACATTTCTTGTTAGTTTTCAGTTGTTATGGTGGACATTTCTTGTTAGTTTTCAGTTGTTATGGTGGACATTTCTTGTTAGTTTTCAGTTGTTATGGTGGACATTTATTGTTAGTTTTCAGTTGTTATGGTGGACATTTATTGTTAGTTTTCAGACAAAGCTTAGTTCTACTAATATACAGGAATGAGGAAAATAGATAAAATAGGAACAAGAATGACAAATGAAATAAGAATTCGGAAAGGGGTAACATATATTTCAAATTTTGTACAGTTCCGGATATAAAATTCCTAAACTCAAAAAAAGAATATAAGCTTCAAATTTCCGGCTTCAAGTTTCTAAGAGCTTTGTTAATCTAGAAGTAAACGTCAAGATTCATTGTTTATTTATTCATGGAAAAGGTTGGATTTACCTTAAAAAAATTTAAATAAAATATTCTCAGCGGGCGGAAACGTCAAGTATGTGTGTCTGTACCAAAAGAGTGAGTGTAAGTAATACCGAACTGAAGGTGTGTACTGTAGTTATATACAGTACATAAGAATCTCGGTATTTGTACAGTCTAGGAGAGTACATTTGTTTATTGTAAATTGTTTACTTAAAAATAAGTTTATTATACATGTAATATATTATTTATTTATTTAAGTCAACAATATGAACTTAATTTTCATGCAAAGAATATAATTAGAGAAAAGTTTAAAATAAACTACTCGTTATTCAAGCTTAATTACAATTGACGACAAATTGTTCTGCAATTTCCTTGACTGTAGTCATGTTGTGTGTCTGTGCCAAAAGAGTGTGTGCAAGGAATACCGAACTCGTCTGCAAAGCAGTGCGACTGGCTTTCTTATGCCAGACCAGCGCCATTTCCCTTCCCTTTATTCTTATTCCCTGAATATTCCTGATCAACCTTTTATTTTTTCCCTCTTTAATTTTTATTAAATACTAGCTGAAGGACCCGGCGTTGCCTGTGGATAAAAAAATAAAATCGAAAAGCGTATGTGACCCCCCCGCTATCCGATAGGCCGGCTGCAGGTACCATATAAACCAATGTTTTATTTTCAGATATTTTCCATTAGAAACTATAAAAGGAAGGATTAGTTTCTCTCTTTTTGAGAAATATTTGCTCTTAAATCCTCGTATTTAATATTTTGGATAATTATAAAATAAAAAGAATTTTTATCCATACTTGAAAAGTTTAAAAGAATAGCCATATATTTTGAATTTTGTTTTAAAGTCTGTTAACATGTTAAACGGTGAACCAAGTATTTAAATATCAATATTTAGACAATATTCTTTTTTTTAAATCTCTGATCGTCTCTCTCTCTCTCTCTCTCTGATAAACTTTATCGCCAAGCTTTAAAGAACCCTCCTTTTTACCTACATAATACCTAACAAGTACCTACATCATACCTAACAAGTACCTACATAATACCTAACAAGTACCTACATTATACCTACCAAATACCTAAAAAATACCTCCCTTATACTTACCTACCTACCTACCTACCTACCTACCTACCTATTTACCTACCTACCTACCTACCTACCTGCCTACCTACCTACCTATCTACCTACCTACTTACCTACCTATCAATGTACCTGTGAGTATATGTCTGAAGGAATGATTTCTTGATCTAGATGTGAGAGAGCTGCCGCAGTAGGAATCATTGCAGGGTGAGATGCATGTCCGAACCCACCTAATCAAATAGGAGTAAGTAAGTAATAATTTATAAAATTTTACAAAAAAAAAAAAATTAAGTGTTTGGGAGGAAATATTTTTAAAATCCTCCAATTATAAAAAGGTGAAACCAAAGATAAAATTTTTGCTGTTTATAATTTTTTAAATATTTGGTCCTGGATTGTTAGCATTTTTCGACGAATAAGCATTTTAAATTTTAGTATCATTAATGAAAATTGATGTAGGCTTCAAGGTATGTAAAAAAAAGGGTTAAGAAAAAAAGGCACTTTTTAGCATCTTTTTAAATCGTGACGATTTGTGACGAAGTTTATGTTTAATTTTAATTTTAATTATTTCTCTCCCTCTTTTATTCAAATACATGTCTGAACCCACCTAATCAAATATATATTAAATACATGTCTTCTGAATCCACCTAATCAAATATATATCAAATACATGTCTAAACCCACCTAATCAAATATATATCAAATAAATGTCCGAACCCGCCTAATCAAATATATATCAAATAAATGTCCGAACCCACCTAATCAAATATATATCAAACACATGTCTGAACCCACCTTATCAAATATATATCAAATACATATCTGAACCAACCTAATCAAATATATATTAAATACATGTCTAAACCCACCTAATCAAATATATATCAAATACATGTCTGAACCCACCTAATCAAATATATATTAAATACATGTCTGAACCCACCTAATCAAATATTTATCAAATACATGTCTGAACCCACCTAATCAAATATATATTAAAATATGTCTGAACCCACCTAATCAAATATATATTAAAATATGTCTGAACCCACCTAATCAAATACATATCAAATCATATCTGAACCAACCTAATTAAATATATATTAAAATATGTCTAAACCCACCTAATTAAATATATATTAAAATATGTCTAAACCCACCTAATCAAATATATATCAAATACATATCTGAACCCACCTAATCAAATATATATCGAATACATTTCTGAACCAACCTAATCAAATATATATTAAAATATGTCTGAACCCACCTAATCAAATATATATACCGGGTGAAATTTAGGAGTAATTGTTTGGTTATGTTGAACTACTGTTGGTTGGTTTCCGATATTTCCTGATAGGGATCTTACCACTGGGTTACCCTGAGTAGCTCGGCTAGTATTGACTGAGGCGGGGAGGGTTCGAGGAACTGATCCGGCCTGAGGAGGATATCCCTGGGTTCCGCCCACCATGGAGGTGGCAGGGGTGGAGTTCACGTGACCGATCTGGGCGTAGGTTGAATAGTTGGAGTAGGTAGAGTAGGGTTGGGTAGCTACAGGTCGGTTCAGGGTAGACAGAGGAGTAGGAGATACGGAGACAGGTTGGGTTACAAGATTGCTTCCAGGGTAGGGAGGAGGAGGAGACGCCTGGTTCATCGCAACCCTATGCGCTTCCGACAGTTGTTTCTTAAAATGCTCAACATCCGCCCTCGCCTTTCTTAATGCATCTTCTAGGTCTCTATACCTTCGTTCATCAGCAGTTAGTTTATCCTTGAACTGTTGACGCTCTGATCCAAACTGTGATAAATGTTTCTCAAGCTCTGCTTCCATAGCCAAGGATCGTTTGCTCTCCTCCTCTAGTCCAGCTGCCATGGTATCCATCCTAGTTTTCTCCTCCTGCAACATCTGAGCTAAATCCTCGCTTCTCTTCTTCTCCTCTAGGTAGAGCTTGTGCAACTTTTTCCTGTCAGAGAGTAGAACTAATACTATTTGTTTCTGTTTGGTTTTCTCTTCTTCTTGTCTAGCCGCAGCGTCTTTCACAGCTTCTTCTAACCGTTGCTTCTCTAGGATTTCATTTTCAAGTTCTTGCTTCAACCTTATTCGGTCTTTTTCAAGCTCATATGTTATATCATCACCCTGGGCTGTGTCTCGTTCATGTTTACTCTTTTCTTCATGTAACTCTTGAACAAGTTGAGATCGTTGTCGTTCACTTTCGCGCAAACAAGACGCAATTTTAACAGTTGCAACTCTTTGTCGGGCAATAACATTTTGCAGAGCTGCTATTTGAGATTCTGCGGTGCAGGTTGCGATCTGAAGATCTTCTTCTAACTGATTTGCATCTGGAACAAATTGTTTATCTCTTTGAAGTGCAGAGCTGGGGCTGTCATGTTTAACATGCCCGCTATAGCACCCATATAATACTGTCTTTAGTTGTTCAGATTTGAGAGCAGCAATTACTACATCTCGGGCCTGAAGCTCTCCTTCTAGATGACTGAGAAGCTCCAGAAGGTCAGTTCCCTCAACATCGAGCTTCTCGGACCCTTTTATTGCGTTGCTTATTTTTGACAATGTAGCGGTGTTTTTCTCTTTCTCGCCATATTTCTTTTTTTCTCCGGGAATCTCAGCCATTCTGATATTGACAACAGGGGAATTGTTTTCTATTTTTATTTCTAATCACTATCCCGCCAGTCATCATAAACCTTGTTCATCAGATATTAGATTGTGTTAACACATACGGTGTAAATAGTTTCAAACATTGGTCGCCATATTGAATATAGATAGTAGGTAGATACACTGTTCACTGAGTTCACTGGTGGGAGGAGGTTCAACTTAAGCTGGGAACATACTAGCAGACATTATTCCTCTCACACTGTAGTGTAGGTAGGAGTTGGGTACAAACTACCGGACATTATTCCACTCACTCAATCCTCCACACTTCATTCATTTAAAATTCTAGAGAAAGAGATATGTTTAACTGAACATAAACTTTATATTTCAAATTTTACACGTTAGAATTCAAATTACATCTGTATATATTGTTTATATATACTAATAAGAAAAGAGATTAATAATTAATAACAATAAAATAATAATAATAATAATAATTATAATAATGATAATAATAACCATCATCAATGATAATTGTAACAAAAAGTATATAAAGTTTGAAAAACACGATATAATTGGTTAAATACTAAAAACACTTAGATTAAACTTTTCTATTTTCTCATTTGGGAATATTTTCTATTAAGGATAATTCCTAAGAGAATTTTTCTATACAGATTATTTTTAATGAAAATGGTTAAATTTATATTTTTCTTAAATGTTTTTTCTCTCTGTTTTAAATTTGATAGTTAAGAAATAGAAAAATATGAACTTGATAATGTCTTTTAATTGTATTCTATAACAATAAAAAGTATGATAGCTGCAGAAATTGATAAGACTGTTATTATATGCAGCGGAAGGAGGATATTTGGTAAAAGAAGTTTTTGCCCCAAGCTCGACTGACGTTCTAATCCCTATCTTTACAACCGAATGTAGACCTTTGATATTTCAAACTATGAATTTTTTTGGATCTAATAATCTAAGTTTGAAATGTCAAAGTTTTACACAGTAAGATTGCAAATATATAAAGATTAGACAACTCATTTCGTTTGACATAAATTTTTTAGATTTTATATATTTGAATAAAAATCAACATATATCCTTTTTTCAAAAGATTGAATAATTAGGGAAATATATAGTTTACATGCTGTCTTTGTATGAATTTTTGCATCAGAGTTAAAATTCTATTTTCTTCAGAGTTCCCCAATCAAAATGTGAGGAAAATCGGTCCGGGGGTGATCGGACAAAAAAACAGACAAGCAGAGATTACAACTTTATATATATAGATATATAATATTATATAATACTTGGTTGGGAACCCGACCCTGCAAAGGTTACTAAAAGTTACTCCCGCCGTTAACCCGTATCTGGAACGATTTTACCGTGAAACTAAATTTTCGCTATCAAAGCCTACCCACTCAACTTAGAATTTCAAAACTAAGCTAAGCACATTCCCGTAGATCTCCCGATTTCCTCAATCAATATTTGAGGCAAATCGGTGCAGGGGTTCCTGAGTTCTGATCGGAAAAACAAACAAACACAGAGATTACAACTTTAAATTATAGATTTATGCAAAACTATAAAGGGGTTTAGAGTGCTATTGCCAAGGTTCTCGACTACAGGATATCCAAGCGGAATTATTCAAATCCTTCGCACGAAAAAAAAAACAGTCTCCAATTGAATACTTGATCTTAGGGGTTTTATACTCAAGAAGAAAGTATCAATAAGATCATTCAGAGCAGGGCGAATGGGGGAACCGTTTGATAATTTACCAAATTTCCCTTTCATAAAATTGGGTAAGAAAGATTGATTGGTTGTTTCAGCAATAGTACAATATAGAGGAAAATAATATTTATAACTTGCTCATTGTTAAAAAGGAAGTAAATATAAGAAAAGAACATTTTTTAATCAACACAGTGGCAATAAAGGAAAAAATAGATAATTTGTTCTCAATTATTTTTGATTCCCGAGACATATGGATATTTTGAATTAGGAGAAAAGTCCAAATTTTGACTAAAGTCTGACATCTAGTGTTCTCATAAAGAACCCAAATGTTAAACGGATAAATTAACACATTAAAGTTATAAGAAACAACGACCATATGTTTTTAAATTTCAGAAATTTTAAAATTTAAAATATAAAACAACAACATGTTTTTGAACTAACCAACATGAAGTTTTTAAGATGATTAAAAAATGGAATGTTGTATAAAAACCGAAATTTCGAAGTGTACAGTCTCAAATTCTAAACATGACGATTTATTCTTATTTTATTCTTATTTTATTCTTATTTTATTCTTATTTTATTCTTATTTGGTCAAATTGTGATTGAATGTCACACCTTGCTGGGACTAGGACCAAACTGTCAAATCAGCGTGAAGGTTTAATATGATGCATTGCGTAACTACATTTTTAGGTTTTACGAAAAACAAATTCTGTTTATTTAAAAGTACAGGGTGTCCCACGAAACATGACAGTTGGTGAATAGTTTAGAATGGTTTCCTCCATAATTTGTTAAGTTGTTTGATACCAAAGACAATAATAAAAATATTATATGGGAGTCATATTATAGTAAACTTGATTTCAAAGTAAAATATAAAAATATTTTTTTACGAAATAAAATGCAAAAAAAACCTTTAATATCATAATACAGTATATGTAAGACGACATTAAATACTATTTATAAACTGTCATGTTTCGTGGGACACCCTGTAGTAGAGTAAAGTTTGAATTTCGATTTTAGCTTTTTTCATCTTAGAAAATAGAAAGTGAATAAAATTTTACTTTTTTTAATTGGACATGCTTAAGTTCAGGTATTAAAAAAGAAATTTTATTTAGAAAAATTAAGTATTAATAAGTTTTTCTAAATATTAAAAAAAAATATCGTAGTGCACTGTACAGTATTCTGTCGATATTGCCCTTCCTCCCTCTCTTTGCTCTCTTTTACTGTACTTTTTATCTTACGCTAATCCTATATTAAGATAAAACTTTCGATTTTTGTAAATTTAATTGATTAGGAGTCTAGATAAAAAAATAGAAATCAACTATGTTTTCCAGATTTAAGCTCGTCTTTCTCATCTGGTTCAACTTCTTCCTTCTCACTGTCACTCTGATCTCCTTTCTGATCATCTTGATCACTTTCATGATCATCATGTTCATCATCATCATCAGCATCACTACCATAGTCTGAGCCGAGCTCTATACTCTTCTCCCCGGTCCGAGTTCGTCGCCACACGTTGTAGACGACACCGACGACGATGATGGCGAGGGCCAGGCAGCCGACTAGGATCCAAACGAGGACCTCGGTGTTCATCCCCAGCTTCTCCTCACGCCGGGTCATCACAGGGGCCGGGGTCTCACGCACCCAGGGCTGAAATATTATTAGATCTTAGTTTGCAGATTATAGCTATTAATATTTGTATTTTATTACAGTTCCCAACCTGTTTTGTATTTGTTTCCTTCCTTCCATCTATCTCAGGTTTGAGGGGTGGAGTAGGTATTTGGACAGGGTTCAGGTTTCCCTGTTTTAGGGAGGTTGCAAAAAGTGTTTCCGGAGATCTATTATAATCCACTCCTCTCCAACCCTTGTCCTCTCGGGCTATAACCTAAAACACAGAGTATAATTATTATAATTTATAATTCATCATTCATTTCTTTTGTTGTAAATATTATAATATAATCTTTATTCTTCATTAATCCGCTATTTTTAGCGAAAACTCAAATTTTCTAAACTCTTTATTTCTACCACCTGACGATATACACCTTTGATATTCTGTTCAATCTACCCCCCCCCCCCCTATTTCCTATTTCAGCACTTCTAGTCCTACATCCCCCCCCCCTTTCCTGATCCCAGTCTCTCTACTTATTTCTGTTTCTGTAATAATTAAACCTATCCTACGATAGTTATAAATTTCAATATGGATTTAAATCATAAAAGCATATCTTTTCTATCTATCTATCCCCCATCGATTATCTTCTATTATCTCACATGTAAACTTGATTTTGGATTTAAACCAGCAATACCAAGTATTCAGTGGCTAGTTACCCAAGGCTATTAGTTTCTGTTTATAAGTAGATTATACAGGGTGAGTCAAAAAAAAGTGTGATTAGCGGCATCATGGTGCAAAGTTGTACCTTTTTTGTGCAACCCTCCTGTATGGTGGGTTTCAATATTTTTTGGAAATTTTTTATTTTTTTTATGGTACTCTTATGGCCCAAAAAAAATCCGCGAACATTTCTTTCTCTCAAAATCAAAAGGTCAGAAGAGCAAAAATGTATATATATATATATATATTATTTCTTTGAAATTCTAGAATTTTATAAATATTGAATCACAAAAAATTCGCAAAACTGTAACAAGAAAATTTGCAATTTTCAGTTCTGGTCTAATTGTAATAAATTTAGGGGATGAAGCTTATTTTACTATCCGTATCATATATGTTTGTTTATCTAGTTACTATCTTTATTATCTATGTTGTCTTATCTATTATCTAGGTTCTATTCGACCCGGACCGGCCAGTCCGGTCAATCTATATTTACCTGTATCAATAAATTAGTATAGTATCAACCGTTGTTTTAGACGGACGTAAAGAGCCAGGGTTTGGGCTAGAGATTAAGTCGGGAAGGCTTACAGTAAGAGTTTGAGTCAAGTATTAGGAGATTGATCGGGACTATAGATCGTTACATAATATTTAAGGAAAAGTTGTTTTTCGATGGCTTTTCAGGTTTCAACTGAACAGCGTATATTTATAACTTAAGAATAAACTAAGAAGAAAGAAACTAGAGGATTAAAGTAAGAAATATACTTCCAAGTAATATTAAGCATACTATTTATAACTTCTTATTTCACTCTTTTGTAGAATATGGAATTGTAGCCTGAGGGAGAAAAAAGGCCTGATATGAAAAAAGTTAGCTTGCTCCAAAAACGTGCAGTTAGAATTATTGATAATGCAAAAAAAGTTTCACTCAGCGATCCTCTTTTCTTTCAGTCTAAAATCCTTAAGCTAAATGATTTGACTCATTTCAATCACGTAACATTTATACAATTACAATAACAAGCCACTTGATTTAAAAAGAAGTGCCTCGTTAGATATACTTTAAAAAATTTATTACAAATGTTATCTGACGCCTACATGTCAAAGTGCAATAAACCTTCTTGTAATTCTTGCAAAAAATGAATATAAATATTGGTAGATTATTGTACGCATGCTTAATCTTATTCTGTACTAATTTAAAACTGAAAATTCAAATATTTTGTTATGCTGCACCTCGGTCTCTCTAAATTTAACTAGTAATCCCTGACTTATCGTAAACTTTCAAAACCTAGTAATATTCATCATACTGTAAACGTTTTAATATTAATTAGGTGGGGATAATACCAAAAACAGCAAATAGCTAATCTCCATGCCTAATTGCTAGAATTACATAAATATAGTAAACAATATAAAAATAGTTACAGATTTTTTGCATGTAACATTATAACTTGTATTTGTATTATTAGCAATAAACTATATCTTATCTTATCTAATAGAGTAAACAGTATAATAGAATAAACAATTCAACGGAGTAAACAATACAACAGAGTAAACAATACAACAGAGTAAACAATACACCAGAGTAAACAATACAACAGAGTAAACAATACAACGCAGTAAACAGTACAACAGAGTAAACAATCCAATAGAGTAAACAATACACAAGAGTAAACAATACGACAGAGTAAACAATACACCAGAGTAAACAATACAACAGAGTAAACAATACAACAGAGTAAACAATACCACAGAGTAAACAATACAACAGAATTAACAATCCAACAGAGTAAACAGTCCAACAGAGTAAACAATACAACAGAGTTAACATTACAACAGAGTAAACAATACAACAGAGTAAACAATACAACAGAGTAAACAATAAAACAGAGTATTAACAATACAACAGAGTAAACATTACAACAGAGTAAACAATACATACAACAGAGTAAACAATACAACAGAGTAAACAATAAAACAGAGTAAACAATACACAAGAGTAAACAATATAACAGAGTAAACAATACAACAGAGTAAACCATCCAACAGAGTAAACAATAGAATAAAATAACGAATACAATAGAGTAAACAATACAACAGAGTAAGCAAAACAACAGAGAAAGCAATACAACAGAATAAACAAAACAAAAGAGTAAACAAAACAACAGAGTAAACAATCCAACAGAGTAAACAATACAACAGAGTAAACAATACAACAGAGTAAACAATACAACAGAGTAAACAATACAACAGAGTAAACAAAACAACAGAGTAAACAATACAACAGAATTGAGTAAACAAAACAACAGAGTAAACATTCCAACAGAGTAAACAATACAACAGAGTATACAATACAACAGAGTAAACAATACAACAGAGTAAACAATACAACAGATTAAACAAAACAACAGAGTAAACAATCCGATAGAGTAAACAATCCAAGAGAGTAAAGAATAAAGTAAAGTAAACAATCCAATAGAGGAAACAATGCACAAGAGTAAACAATACAACAGAGTAAACAATACAACAAAGTTAACAATCCAACAGATTAAACAAAACAACAGAGTAAACAAAACACAAGAGTAAACCATCCAACAGAGTAAACAATCGAACAGAGTAAACAATATAACAGAGTAAAAAATACAATAGAGTAAACAATACAACAGAGTAAACAATACGACAGAGTAAACAATCCAATAGAGTAAACAGATACTCTCATTTCTACCTGAAATCTACAAAAATCATGATCTTAAAAGTTACAGCAAGTCTTCTGTTTAAAAAAAAAATTGTAAACGTCTAAAGTCTTATGTGTGAACCCGGCCCTCTTTCCACCTCTCCCCTTTAATTCATTATACATGTGTGACCTTGAATGGAAGAAACTAATCGTCTTGTATTTATCTTGTTTAAATAATTAAATGTTAGTATAAAAATATGTTGCAATGCTTTGCCTTGAATCTGTGTCTGTTTAGATCTAAGAAACATGATGATTTTAAACAATTTGCCTGAATACATATCAATCTCCATATATGGCCGGGCGAACAGATCTTAGGTTTTTCAGGAGATTAGATTAGAACATTTCTACACTCAAACCTTATGCAATTTTAATCTATTTCTTCACTTACAACTTTCACCCGTTTTTCTACATACAAGTTTTTACAATCTACAAATTTTATGTGTGAAAGGGAGCCAACGTGGCAAGAAGGGAGAACTGCCATATAAAATAGAAAGGATGGGGTGGGGGTTAACGAGCCCCGAACTCCTTCTGGTTTCGCCTACATATGTCATGTTTTATGTTTTTTTCTTATTTTCAATTTTCTGCATATCATGATGTGTGCAATCTCATTTTCCCATGTACAAGGATAGAAAAAATGAATCTATAGGAAAGGAAGAAGAAAGGAAAAATTAAATTAGGAAAGGAAGAGGATAGAAGAAATGAATCTAGGAAAGGAAGAGGATAGGAAAAATGAATCTAGGAAAGGAAGAGGATAGGAAAAATAAGTCTAGGAAAGGAAGAGGATAGAAAAAATGAATCTAGGAAAGGAAGAGGATAGGAAAAATGAATCTAGGAAAGGAAGAGGATAGGAAAAATATAAGAAAGTTAGAAAGAAAATAGAGATGGAGAACATAAGAATATGGATAATCATAATCATATTTCCTGATTCTCCGCTTTCTTATCCCTGCTTTTAGTTCTTACATTTAATTTCTTTTACTTTCCTTTCTTCATCCTTCATTTTCATATTTCCTGATCTTTCCATTTCTTAATCTAGCAATTATCTAGCTTCACCATTCCATTTCATTCCTTCATATTTTCATTAGAAATTCTTTTTCTCCTCCCATCTCATTAAAAATAGATATTTAACTAAGTATTTAATCTATTAGTAACCTAACACCTGACATCTTGACAGGTTCGTTAAGTTGTATTTTAATCAGCAAACAAGGGAAGCATGTTTAAGAAAGAGTTAGAATATATTCTCTTTATTTTTATTAAGAAGGATTTAATTTTTACTCCACGACTACTCTTTCTCTACTCACCCCTGAAACCTACTCGTCAACTTCCTGGAACCCAGACTACTCCCCTCTACTCCCATCTACTCCCTGGAACCCTGACTACTCCCATCTACTCCCTGGAACCCTGACTACTCCCATCTACCCCCTGGAACCCTGACTACTCCCCTGTACTCCCTGGAACACTGACTACTCCCCTCTACTCCCTAGGACCGTGACTACTCCTCTCTACTCCCTGGAACACTGACTACTCCTCTCTACCCCCTGGAATCCTGACTACTACCCTCTACTCCCTTAAACCCTGACTACTCCTCTCTACCCCCTGGAATCCTCACTACTACCCTCTACTCTCTGTAAACCCTGACTACTCCTCTCTACCCCCTNAATTCTGGATTGTAGATTCTCTGACTACTCTCCTCTACTTCCTGGAACCCTGACTACTCCCCTCTACTTCCTTGAACCCTGACTACTCCCCTCTACTTCCTGGAACCCTGACTACTCCCCTCTACTTCCTGGAACCCTGACTACTCCCCTCTACTCACTTAAACCCTAATTACTCCCCTCTACTCCCTGGAACCCTGGCTACTCCTCTCTACTCCCTGGAACCCTGACTACTCCATTCTACTGACTACCTGATAAAAGTACTCCAACTCAGGACTGATATTAGTGAGAACAATGAAGAATGTATCTGACCTCTGCATCTCACTCATCTTAAACCCAGTAGGTGCAGACACCAGTCCTGGGGTAATAATAATAATAATAATAATAATAATAATAATAATAATAATGATAATGATAAGGTTAAGGATCACAATGATGATAATGATAATGATATCAATAATAATTATCATATAATTATATATTTTATATTTATATTGATGATAATATTGATGATAATAAAGAATACAATAATATGTTATGATAATATAAACAGCTACCTGATTTAACTAAGAACTGGTCTACACAATCCACCCTTGAGACTAGACCCTCCCAGGAGACAAGAACAGAGGTAGCATTTATCTAAACAAAATCAACATTAAAGGGACTGTACACGTAAATTTAAGTAATCCTCCGATTCACAAAAGTACCACTGAAGCCTTTTAAAAAATTCAATAAATTTTAATAAAACATTATAGACAAGGAATGAAATAAACAGAATTAATCTCTTTTTTAAATAAAATGCGACCAAATCTTCCTTATTGTGTCCCTCTAACTAGAAATTGATGAAGTGATAAAGTGATAAAGTGATAAAGTGATAAAGTGATAAAGTGATTAAGTATTTATAAAAATAAAAGGATTTATTTAGAATTAAGTATTGCAGTTTAATAAATAAGAATTTAAGTACAAAAGGGACCAGATTCAATCAATATAGTGAGACATTGAACCATTTCTCTTCAGCTTCTGGCTGGTTGACGAAGTATACAAGAAAACTGGTTCAATTGAATCTACGTGGTTCAACCAGGTCTCACTATTAATTAAATCTGGTCTTACGCTCTTTCGAAATGTCAAATATTTATCTAACAAAATTTGTCGGAGCACCGGAGCACAACCCAACCAACCAATCTTTCTTAAAAGGAACTGAGTTGTTGCCACAAACTCCGACATCTAATTCTTAGAACTTTGCTACCCAATGTCTTAAACCTTTAATATTTCAAACTATGACGTCTCTTAGATCAAATAATCTAAGTTTGAAATATCAAAGAAATACAACATCAGGTTGATAAGTTAAAGTCATTAGAAACTTTTAGTTTGTGGCAAAAACTCAATTCCTTTTGTTGACATTTCTTTGAGTGCAATTTCACTATAACACTTTATGTTACAATCAGTATTTTTCGTAAATTGTTAAAATATAAAATTTTCTAAATTATTGAAAAATGTTTCTAAAAGAGATATTTGATAAATTTTTAAAGAAAATTCCAATCTCAAGTTTCAGGAATTTAATTTAATCTTCTTGAAAGAATTCAAGTTGAGAAAATGAAAAGTCAAAATGTAAGGTTAGGTTGAATACCGGCTAAATTAAAAAATATAGAAAATATTAAATTTAGGTTCAAAGTTTAGTTTAGAGAGATGACAAGTATATGTCATTACTTGACTATTTGTATGCTAATAAATATAATCTATTAAGATAAATAATTTAAAAAAAGAAGGAATAGATAAAAAGATGAAATGGCAAATGTGGTTTGATGCAACAAACAGGCAGATGAGATCAAACCCAGTATTTTGGGGATTAATTTTAAAACACTTGTGTTTAAATCTTAATTTAAGAAACAAGCCTAAAATATTTTTAAAAATAATTTCTTATTTTGTCTCAGACCGAGGACGGTTAAAAACATACTATGCTTCTAAAGAAAAATTTAAAAAGGTTGCACTATGAGTATAACTGTGCAAAGCGACAATTTTTAAACTACAGTTTTAAAAGTTAAGATTCTTGGTGCTAATTTTAAATGGGTTTCCCTAAAGTTAGCACGTGTAAAATATTAGCACTAAATGTATCTACTCTCTCAACCTTATTTTATAAATAGTATTTACTACTGAAGGTTATTGTCTTTCCACCTGTACACTTCATTAGCTCTCATTCTACATCTAGATTCTAGATTAGATTCTAGATTCTAGATTCTAGATTCTAGATTCTAGATTCTAGATTCTAGATTCTAGATTCTAGATTCTAAATTATTGATTGTAGATGATTTTATATTCTATTTGATTATAAATTCTAGATTCTAGATTCTCATTCAGATTCTTGAATCAGAATTTATAATTCTAATTTCAGATTCCAGATTCTAGATTCTAGATTTTAGATTCTAATTCCAGATTCCAGATTCTAGATTCTAGATTCTAGATTCTAGATTCTAGATTCTAGATTCTAGATTCTAAGTTCTATCTATATATAAATTTGGCTTGTCTGTCTGTTTGTCTGTCTGTTTGTTTGTATCCAATAAACGTCAAAAAGGCTGAACCGATCGGGCCCAAATTTTTTGTGGGACATCTAGGGACCACAGGGAAGGATTATGAATGATTGAAATTTTAAATATTTGTCTCAATCAAAATTCGATCTTCATTAAATTTTTTAAAATTTTGAAAATCCACGAAATTTTTATGAAAATCCGCGAATTATTTTTGTTTTGTTTTACGATGTGCACAAAGAGAACATGTTCACAATTAATTTAGAAGATGGGCGCGAAGCCCCCTCTAAGGCTAGAAAGAAGGGCGCGAAGCGCCTTGAATTTCTAGTCTTCTAAATTTCAGTTCCTGTAGATTCTAGATTTACAGATTCTAGATTCTAGATTACAGATTATAGATTCTAGATTATAGATTATAGACAACTCAAGATTCTAAATGATTTTAGATTCTTTATTACTCTAGATTCTATTTGATTCTAGATTCTAGATGATTCTAGATTCTAGATGATTCTAGATTCTAGATGATTCTAGATTCTAGATGATTCTAGATTCTAGATGATTCTAGATTCTAGAGGATTCTAGATTCTAGATTATCCTAGATTCTAGATGATTCTAGATTCTAGATTCTAGATTATTATAGATTCTAGATGACTCTAGATTTTAGATGACTCTAGATTCTAGATGACTCTAGATTCTAGATGACTCTAGATTCTATATGACTCTAGATTCTCGATGACTCTAGATTCTAGATGACTCTAGATTCTAGATGACTCTAAATTCTAGATGACTCTAGATTCTATATTTTAGATTCTAGATTCTAGAAGCTAAGTGAATAAAGATTATAAATGATTCTAGATTCTAGATTTATCAGAATTTAATTTTAAACTTGTACTAAATATTTATAAAAACTTAGTTTTTATCCAAATAAATTCAAATATAATATTGCTATGTTGATGTTAAAATAGATGAGACTTAAAATAATAAAATACGATGAAAATATGTCTAAAATAAGAAGATAGATGATAATACACTGGAGCTATATGAATCATGAATCACACATGTTACATAATAAGAAAGAAAAATAGGCAGTCATAAGATAGAGAGACAGATAGAAATATACTTATTTTCTATATTTTAATGAAACGATATTTCAATAAAAAAGAAAAATATTTCTAAAATATTATTTGTACAGACATAAGTGCAGGACAGAAAGGAAATAAACATATGATATGAAAGATTGAAATTTGACAGAAGAGAGAAAATCATAAAATATAATTTTTGATTCATTTTCAATAGAACATTATTTTGTCTCTCGCAAAATTTTCAAATGAATTCAAAGACATTTGTGCAGGGTCATACAGTGATAACCAGAAAACTCTGGAATAGGAAATTGGCTTTTAGACTCAAGTTATAACTTTAAAAGGTCTAATGAGAATGAGACACAGCATTTGTGCAGTTAAAACAGACACATTTCACTAAAGTAGTGATTTGATAAGCGTTTAGTAAAACTATTTGCTTTGTAAAACATCAAATACACTTATTTATTGCTATTATGTCGTCTTCCTATTCCATTGTTTTCTGGTTATCACTGTACTTGTATAGAGTATAACTTATAAGTTCTGACAAATCCGTAGTTAAAAATTTTTGTTCAAATTGTTTTTGATTTAACAATCCTTTATCAAATATTCTCATTTAAACAATTTTTGATAAACTATAACCTCATTGAAATTATCTTTGATTAAACTATCCTTAATTAAATTATCCTTGATTAAACTATCCTTGATTAAACTATGCTTTATTAAACTATTCTTGATTAAACTATCCTTGATTAAACTATCCTTGATTAAACTATCCTTGATTAAACTATCCTTGATTAAACTATCCATGATTAAACTACCCTTGATTAAACTATCCTTGATTAAACTAGCCTTATTTAAACTATCCTTGAATACACTATTTTTGATTAAACTATCCTTGATTAAACTATCCTTGATTAAGCTATCCTTGATTAAACTATCCTTGATTAAACTATCCTTGATTAAATTAGCCTTGATTAAACTATCCTTGATAAAAATATCCTTGATAAAACTATCCTTGATTAAACTGTTCTTGATTAAACTATCCTTGATTAAACTATCCTTGATTAAACTATCCTTGATTAAACTATATGATTTAAATATCCTGATTAAACTATCCTTGATTAAACTATCCTTGATTAAACTATCCTTGATTAAACTATCCTTGATTAAACTATCCTTGATTATGACGCATATATTCTGAAAATAAAATATTTCCTTATCAACATCAATTTCAATTTTTCTCTTTGTATGTGATATAAACTGCATATACGAAAATTGTAATATATTCCGAATTAAGGCAGTTCATAACTGTAAAAAAAATCGTTAACTGCCAAAAGTGCAAACACATAAACACTCTGAGATAGCTTCATCGTTAAAATATATCACGGCTTAAAAAATAGAGATTCAAGATTAAAGAACTTTCTGTTTAGGGCAATATAAAATCAACGGGGGGNGGATTGGCATTAACCCATAAAGCTAGTTGTGTCAAAAAAACCATATTGCTAGTTTCAAAGAGTCCGGTATATTTTTTAAATCCTTGTAGTTTGTTGCAGAGGGTTTAAAAAACATTTGTAAGGACCAGTGAGTTAAAACCCAATATGAGGAGTTACAAAAAGTTTATAAACTAGAAGGTTGGTGGAGGAGTCATTAAATCATATGGCTAGTTGCAATTTACAGAGACAAAGAATACAGAATGATGATTGCAGAGAGTTAAATTCAGAAGTTAGCTGCAGAGGGGGTTAAAATAAGACCATTTGATTAGTTAATGGGGATTAATAAAATCAATATGGTTACTTTTAAAGAGTTATAAAACCATTAGATAGTTTATACAGTTTTAAAACCATATAATTAATTGCAGAGAGTTTTAAAACCATATAATTAATTGCAGAGAGTTAGTTTCAGAGACTTATAAACCTTATGGTTAGTTTCAGAGTCTTATAAACCATATGGTTAGTTTCAGAGTCTTATAAAACCTGATGGTAAGTTTTAGAGACTTATAAATCTTATGGTTAGTTTCAGAGACTTATAAAACCTTATGGATAGTTCCTAAGAGTTACAAAAACATATGGTTACAGTTGCAAAATTGTATAATTAGTAGCGAGATTAAGAAAACAAGCGGCTAGTTCCAAAGAGATATAAACCAACATGAATAGTTATATAACCGCCTCATGGTTAGTAACAGTGAGTTATCAAATTTTGGAGTTAATCAGAGAGAGTTATAAAGCCATTGGGTCAATACCAGAGAGTTATAAAGTTAGAGGCAAAGAGTTGAAAAACAGTTAGTTGCAGAAAAAGTCGAACAAGATAAAACTAAAAGCATTATCGATAAGCGTTCTTCCCACGACAAGAATTTCATGTTAAGGTTTAAAATTCTGTTCTAGTTCTACACAGTAAACATGCCAAGCAAACAAGCAAACAAAACTCCGATTAAATACATATGACTGAACGTTATTGTAAAGTTTATTTATATTAGAATTAATCTTCATATCTCGTACTGCCTCATTTTAAAGATGTATCAAAGAAATTTATATTTGTTAAGATCAGGTGCGTACACAGGATTTTATGCAGGGAAGTTTTACCCCCCCCCCCCCGTCTCAAAAATGCTGTTATTCTATATTGAGCCTACTACATGTCCCCTATGTAGCACATTGTAGTCCCAATTCAAGGACTATATATTATTGTTCTGTATTACTCTCTGAAGCCCTGAGTGGTCTCCTGAAGTCCCTGAAGACTATCATTAGTCTTCCGTCCTCTTTATTCTCCCTTTTTCCTCTTTTAATGTAATCTCCCCTGACCTTCATGGTGGTTGCGGGAAGACATGCCAAATAATGCATACTGCATAAAGCTATAATTGTTTATCAAGTTGGGGGAGGAGGAGATTTTAGATAAAAGGAAAATACTAGATAAAATTGGAAAATAACTGGCGCGCAGCTTCAAGAAAATTTTCAACTACTGTTTAAGGGGGAAACACCCCTTTGAAGATGAGGGCAAGCTCATTTTTTACCCACCACACCTAATTTTAACCTTTGCCCATAAATTCCAGGGCGGGGCAGACCCCCTCCCCTGAGATGTCCAGGGAGGGGGCAAGAGGACTACTACCCCCCATGTGTACGCACCTAGTTAAGATATACACAGTTTAACAAAATGGCGCTATATTTACTAAAGATGACTTACATAATGTGTTTTGTTAAAAAACGGCTTTTAATGGATTTCAGAGAACAAATGTTGAAAGATGAAAATAATTTAAGTAATCAAGTAAAAAACCCTCAGGATGGATTAATATTGGTTCCTAGGCTAAGCTAAGCTAGAGGGGGGAGGGATAAAGGTAGAAAGATGAAGCAAAATGCAGTTTGCTTTAAATAAAAATAGGAAACAAATTTTAGAAACTAATTTCCGCTGGTTGGTTTCAAATAAATAAGGATTTATTTTCAAAAGAAGATTCAGAAATTAGGAAATATCGTTGTTAAAATAATAAAAAGAAATTGAATTTCTGCCACAAACTCTGATTTTCTAATCCATATATCTTTGCAACCCAATGTCGTAGATCTTAGACATTTCAAACTATGAATTCTATTAAATCAAATAATTTAACTTTGAAATATCAAAGGATCACATCATCAGGTTTCAAAGATAGAGAGATTAGAAAATTTTAGTTTGTGGCAAAGACTCAATTCCTTTGTTAAATTAATTTTAAAAAACTCAATATATTTGATGAAAAATAATGGGGGGGGGGGAGGTTGAGGAGAAGACTAGAATGACTTAGGAGTGTTAGCCTGAACCAATAATCCTGATCTGAAAAGTAGAGCCGCGGGATGAGAATTAAGGTTCGTAAATCGTAATTTGATAAGTTCTCACATCTGGAGCTGGAAACCAGTTCAGCAGAGAAAATATATCTGACGGATGCATAAACTTAATGTTTTGGATTCCTAGCGCAGGAGATCTGGCAGGTGGGATGACATGTCTGCTAACAAAACACAAAATATGAATTAATGTATGAATAAATAATACCTGCTGTACTACGGGTGGGCCAGAGAAGCTTGGATTAGCTCCAATCCCTGAACAGTATCCGAGTACATCCCGGATACATATTCCGAACAACAAAACCAGGAGCATTCTCATCTCTCAAATCATCAGAGTCTTTTCAAAACTACCCTTAAACTAGGGATTAACATTATTGATATGTTCACTCTACAAAAGCCAGGATGCGACTGAGCTGAGCTAAAAAATCTCAATTCTTCTCCCGGTCCTACTCTACGTTCCTCTCTATCTCTGTAGCAGTAGCAGGGACTGAATTAAAAACCCGGTTTCACCAGTACTTACACTTGACAAGCACTTAATCCATATTACGGGGACAGCTTAGAGAGAACTGCGAAGCAAGCAGTAGGGACCAGGGTATAGTTTTACATGTGTTCAGTGGAGCGGAGAATTGAGAACTGGATTTAGAGCTCTAACTCTGTACCCTACCAGTACCCTGATACTCAGTCCCACCCAAACCTATACTCAGAACTCTTTCCTCCCTATTTTAATCCTGACCTGAGTAATTATTCTTGAACTGGTGTTTAATCATTTTGACACATGTAATATATTTTAATATAGACCGTGAAAAAGATATTTAAAAACAGGTTTTTTAATCAAATTTTATCAAATATTGTGAATATGAAATCCATGAAATATCAAGTTGAATTACTTATCTTTTCTTCCGGTCCTTCAACTAATAAAAGAATTAAAAAATACACAAAGAAATATTTATTATGAGTCAAAACAAGATTTTAAACTAATATCTTTTATTACTTTTAAATCGCCCGGAGATAAAGCATTTTTGCTGAAGTGTTAAAACAATATATCATCGTTCATTAAACCACTCATAGAAATAAACTTGCTACAGGGCTACCAATAAAGGATGAGATTTCAGAGACGACTGTAAGGAATTTATACCGTCATGTTTCGTTAAAATTATGATTCTCTGCTACTGTAAATTTATTTTTTTCTTTTGAGAATAAGAAAAGTCATTTCAAGATTGTTTATGTGATTGTCAGGCGTCCCTAAAAGTCTAATTTGATTTGATTTGACTGTCTTGTTTCGTTACATTTTGAATTCTCTGCAACAGTAAACTTATTTCTTACTTTTCTAAATAATTTAATAAGCAATGAAAGACTATATTTAAAAAGTTTCAGGTCGTCTTTACAATCTCATCCTTTGAAGGCTACCTTGTATATTCTAATAATATGTTGACTGGTATATTTACATCCAAGACCTTATTAATGTCCTCTTTTTTCCATAGCCTAGGAAACGTGACAGATATATATGATGTATGGATGATGGTTTGAAAATTAAAAATGATACTAGACAAGTTTTTGTTCTAAATAAAGAGGCGCTGTAAAACTTCAAAAATGGGATAGCGCTTAAAAGTAGAAGTACGCAATACTGACTCCAACTTCTTAAGAAGCACTTTAGCAACCAGTTTTTGGTCGTCTTTACAATTTTATCCTTTGAGTCCTGGAACCTCTGTATTTTCAAAAAATTTACCTGCATAATAAACAGATTTCCTGTATAGGAAGACGACATTTGCTATCCTCAATTATATCTTCTGACAAGTCTTATTCTTTGCTGGCAATTTTGCAAACCTAATTCTGACTCAACCATTATAAACCAACCTGTAAAACTAACCTAACAATCTAACTTCTAAAACTCACCTATCAATCTAGCCTGTAAAACTAGCCTAACAATCTAACCTGTAAAACTAGCCTAACAATCTAACCTGTAAAACTACCCTAACAATCTAACCTGTAAAACTCACCTAACAATCTAACTACTAAAACTAACCTAACAATCTAACCTGTAAAATTAGCCTAACAGTCTAACTTCTAAAACTCACCTATCAATCTAACCTGTAAAACTAGCCTAACAATCTAACTTCTAAAACTCACCTAACAATCTAACTTCTAAAACTCACCTAACAAACTAACTTCTAAAAATAACCTAACAATCTAACTTGTAAAACTCACCTATCAATCTAACCTGTAAAACTAGCCTAACAATCTAACTTCTAAAACTCACCTAACAATCTAACTTCTAAAACTAACCGAACAATCTAACCTGTAAAACTAGCCTAACAATCTAACTTCTAAAACTCACCTATCAATCTAACCTGTAAAACTAACTTAACAATCTAACTTCTAAAACTCACCTAACAATCTAACTTCTAAAACTCACCTATCAATCTAGCCTGTAAAACTAGCCTAACAATCTAACCTGTAAAACTAGCCTAACAATCTAACCTGTAAAACTCACCTAACAATCTAACTTCTAAAACTAACCTAACAATCTAACCTGTAAAACTAGCCTAAGAATCTAACTTCTAAAACTCACCTATCAATCTAACCTGTAAAACACTTAACAATCTAACTTCTAAAACTCACCTAACAATCTAACTTCTAAAAATAACCTAACAATCTAACTTGTAAAACTCACCTATCAATCTAACCTGTAAAACTAGCCTAACAATCTAACCTGTAAAACTAGCCTAACAATTTAACTTCTAAAACTCACCTATCAATCTAACCTGTAAAACTCACCTAACAATCTAACTTCTAAAACTCATCTATCAATCTAACCTGTAAAACTCACCTAACAATCTAACTTCTAAAACTCACCTAACAATCTAACTTCTAAAACTAACCTAACAATCTAACCTGTAAAACTAACTTAACAATCTAACCTGTAAAACTCACCTAACGATCTAACTTCTAAAACACACCTAACAATCTAACCTGTAAAACTAACCTAACAATCTAACCTGTAAAGCTAACCTAACAATCTAACCTGTAAAACTAACCTAACAATCAAGCCTGTAAAATTCACCTAACACTCTAACCTTTAAAACTGGCCTAACAATCAAGCCTGTAAGACTAGTCTAACAATCTAACCTGTAAAACTATAGTGATAACCAGAAAACTATAGAATAGGAAGACGACATTAAAGCAATAATAAATTGTATTTGATCTGGTTGCAGAGCAAATTGGCTTTTTTAGTAACTTATTAGATAATTTTTAAAGTCAATTGGGCATTTTTACACCGCACAATTGTGGTGTTTCATGTTCATTGTACTATTTCATAAATTGAGTCTAAAAGTCGTCTCCATATTCCAGAGTTTTCGGGTTATCATTGTAGCATAACAATCTAACCTGTAACCTGTGTTCCATAAAAACTTTAATAAAATTATGACATTTTTTTCCATTCTGACGGTCAAAACTGAAGTGTCAAAAAAACATCAACTTTACAGATAGCATATTTATTAAAAAAAATTTTCCCAACACACGAATATTTTATTACAAAATATGTTTTTTTAGTTATAAACAACTAAATATTTACAGGGTTTCAGATATTGCACATAACTTCACAGCAAGTTTTATAATTTGGGAGGATTCATCTCCATATTGCACAATTCCATAATGTTAAATCTATAGACTTGGAATTTGTTTTTAAAATAGGAAAAATAAAAGCAATTATGATTTCATTAAAATCGCCACGTTTTTAGATGAAAGGGTATGTAGGCGTAATTTAAAGTTAACCTCTTTTTAAATTGGATATGTCTGATTCACAACGGTACCCTTGAAACTTTTATGTGATTCACAACAGTACCCTTGAAACCTTTATGTGATTCACAACGGTACCCTTGAAACCTTTATCTGATTCACAACGGTACCCTTGAAACCTTTATGTGATTCACAACGGTAACCTTGAAACCTTTATGTGATTCACAACAGTACCCTTGAAACCTTTATCTGATTCACAACGGTACCGTTGAAACTTTTTTCTGATAAATTATGTGGAATAAGTACAGTAACACGCGCAAGAGAAGCTAAAATTGAATATAATAAGTTTTTAAATTATAAACAATGATATATAATTGATTCTCTATCAGACAAAGCTTAAAAGGGTACCATTGAAAATCGGGCAATGTCATCTTGAATTAACGTTTAATCAGAATACATCAGAGCTGGAAACTTTAGAACGGTGGATATTGAGATCAATGCTGGATGTTATCTTTTTCTTAATCTCCAGATTAAATAATGCTTGTTCTCCTCTTGTTATTAATCTCTAGATAAATTAACCGATCAGGATCAAGGACATCCCATTCTAAAGTTGTCAGCTTGCAGGTTAAACAACAACATTAATTTACTAAAAAAAAGAACAAAGGTTAATTCAAGGGATCAATGAAAATAAAACTACAAAAGAGACGATAACAGAAAATAATTGTAAAACAATATTGTAAAGAAAGATATTAGAGAGGGCTTAATTATAGATTAAAACAAATTGATTTTATCATGATAATATATCGCTAAACTCAAAATTGAAGATCAAGTCAAACTTAATTATTCGTTTTCTAGGATCAAGTCCGGATCAAAACTGATCCGTGCTTTTAAACTCGCAGCATGCAGTTTAAGTCATTATATATTATTAATCTAGATAAACCAAAAAATTCTTTTCTACTCAAGTTTTAAAATGGAAGAATGAGGATTTAAAAAAAGATTTTGCGCTTTTCCTTTGTTTAACAAAAAAAATGGAAGACAAAAAAAGTCATTTAGGTCAGATGATAACAAATAAAAAATCCTAAAACATAATTAAAAAGTTATTTTCATATAAGGTTAGGCAATGTATAGCCAGAGTTTTTTTCTTTAAAATTTAAACATTTTCTTCGCTGTCGGAGTCCTCAGGCGAACTTTTTTCTGATTCGCTTAGATTTTCAGTTTGAAATGGTTCGTTTGATAACGATCTATAGTTCGGAATCTGAACCCCGTGGGTTATTCGAACCTCAGGGGGAACGTTGTATCGTTTAAACTGTGAGGATTTGTTTATTATCTCCGGAAGTGACGGAGAGGGTTCATCTAGGGTATCAGATTCAAGTTCTCCGGTTCTCTTGAGAATATGCTCCGGGAGTAGATCCTGACCGACTATATGCTCCGGAAGGTTTGAGAGAGTTTCCCGTCCTCGTTTCATTGGTAGTTTGTCTGAGGTTGGATAGTAGGGAGCATAGGATTCCTTGACACTGGTTGAGGTTACCACGTCTGTATCAAGAATCATTGGTTTCGAAGTGAAGAATTGGTAGAAGAAGTTCTTATCTAGGTTTACAGTTTCAACAACAAAATCATCTGGACCATATCCAGGGGTGGAGGATGGTACATTATTGCTAAACCAGTTTGGATTGTTTACTCCATACTGCTCTGACGGATTGTTGTATCTGACAGGAGAAGGAGAAACTTGAACTATATCCTCTGAAGGGGGTTTAGGACGGAGAGGAATATCTATTCCAAGGTTTGATCTGGCTGGCAGAATATCATAAACTACGTCGTACTCGGAGTCAAATTCAGAATTGTCGGCGGATTCATCCGAGTCTAAATCTATCCCGGATCTAATTTTCTGGAGCAATGAGTAGTATTCTTTCTCATCTTCTGAGCTGTAGGAGAAGGTTGAAATCTTATCTGTCACCCTAACGTTGATTGCTGTTGGAGTATACTTCAATGGAGAAGATGTTGTTGTAGATGTTGTAGCTGTTGTTGTAATAGTTGGAGTTGGTGTGGATGTTTCAACGTTTAAAGTTTTAGAATTTAATGAAGATGTTGATGCATCTGTTGTTGTTGTTGTTGTTGTTGTTGAATCTTGATCTGAAGCTTCCTGATTTTCTTCCGAGCCCTGAAACCATGTCGCAGCACCATTGATAAGTTTCCCTGTGATATCATGTTTGCTATCAATGGTTGCGTATGCATTGAGAAGATTGGAGAATATTCCGACAGGACTAATACCTACGGAGCTAGATAAACCTATGGCTGCTGGAAGAAGGCCTCCAATAATATCTTGTCTCCGTGCAGCTTTCTGTCTCTCTGACGCAGGTTCTATTCTCCGGTTTAAATCCTGTGTTCTCCCCTGGTTTAGTTGGGTGGGTGGAGATCTTCTCGGAGGTTGAGTACTGGATCGGAGGATTGGATTTACTCCAAATTGGCCCTTATACTGGTTCCCTGATAGGATTGACTCACGACTCCTCTGGACATTGTTTACCCTATTATATGAATAATCAGAGCCCTGCATGATCGGAGCATCAGGCGTTTGTGGAACAGTGTAATTAGGTAGTCTTGGAGTAGAGATAATTGGTCCTTGGGGTCCCTGTAGTAGAGGGGTACCTGGAGTAATCTGGTTCGGATAAATTATATTTGGATCCGCTCCATAAGAGTTGGATGGAGTAATGACCTGCTCCTGGTGTATAGAAGGAACTCTATTGACAAGTGAAGATTGAATACTTCCGCGGGAAGGAGCAGGTTTAGAATCGAATGATAGAGAACTTCCAACTCCGAAAAATCCTTCATTTTGTCCTTCAGGAACCAACACATCAAGGAAGTTGGGTCCTGGAGAGGTTGAGGGTGTAGCGGAGTGACGGGGTGTGATAGGTTTCATACCTGAGGATCCGAGGTTGTTGATAACAACAGATTCAGGATTATTTCTCCGTGAGTTCCAGGATAAGCCAGGGTTTCTTTTCTCAACAGGAATCATCTTTTCCATTTGCCGCTGCTTCTGGTTCTTAGCCTCTAGAGCAATTAGTCTTTCTAGTTCCTCTTGCATCTGGAGAAGATTTTCATCAATACTCAGACTAGGTTGGGACGTACTCTGGATAGGTTTATTCACTTGTTCTGTTCTCTCTTCTGTATCCTTGATTCGCTTCTCCATAACATTCCAGAAACTATCTTTTACATCCACTGAACTAGGAGCAGTATCTATTCTTCGGTTGAGAAAACCTCCCCATCCTAAATCTTGGGATGGAATTGGAGCAGGTTCAGGCCTTTCTGAGGATCGCAACGAACTCATAGAATCTCTGCTCCGCTGACGGAAGAGCTGTTGTAAATCTGAGATGGGTTCCTCCTCGGCCAGAATTATGTCTGGCGTGTACTCAGTTGGAGGAGGTGGAGCCTCTAAATACTCTGACATCAGTTTATCAGTCTCAAATCCGGAGTCGATTCTTCGGTTCATCTTGTAGGACGGATTCGGAGATGGATACACTGGTCTTGCTGAAGGAGTTGAGGAGTATAATGAGGATTTGAAACCTGAATCATATCTACTGGACGGATTAGTATCCGACTCAAATATTATACTTCGCCCATCATTTGGTTTGAGTAGAACAGGTGTGTTAGCGGAAGCAAAGTTGGTAAAGGTTGGGTTGTAAATCAAATTACTTCTGGATTGTCCATATGTTTGAGGAGAAGGATACTTGGGTAGTGTCCAGCCGTTGTTGGAGACAACTTCCTGTTTAACTGTCTCTGGAGGAGCTGATTCAACCCTATCCTGTCCCTGCCATGACAAGGATATTCTTTCAGAGCTAGAACTTACAGGTTTCTCCGTGGATACTCTTGAAGACTGAGCAAGGTTTTGCCATAAAGAACCTGATAGAGGTGAACTAGTCTCATCCCCCTGAAGTGGTTCAGGATCTAAATATTTCTTTGTAATATCTTGAACTGCAGAGAGAGAAAACTCAATACTATCAAGATCTATCGTATCACTGCCAAACTCACTGTTTTCAAGTGTCATTACTTCCTGGATAAAAACGTCCTTGGCAGAGAGGACGGGGTCCTCCGCAGTTCGTCCTGGCAACTTCTTTTTATCAAGAATGATTTTAAAAAACACTTTGACACTACCGGAGCTGAACCCATCGATAATCACACTAACCAAGGACTCTTGGAGCAAACTCTTTTTATACGTTCTCTCGATAATACCGGAGTATTTCTTGGAGTTCTCCTTGTACCTAACTGAGGTTGGGTTGAGAAGGGAGATGGAGAAATCCTCTGATACAACCCTAAACGCTCCGTCTATGGATACAAGATCTCTGCCTGAATCCTCAATCTTCTGAACCACTCCGAGGTATACAGCAATCCCAATAATCCCGAGAATACCAAGGATTACAAGAACGATACTGAACAAGAAATTTAGTTTAAGCGTTTTAAGAGAAAGTTAATAAAGAACATGAGATTTTTAAAATCAGCCTAGTTTGTTTAATTAAAAATACTAAATATTGTAATGCAGCAGAACCCATAAAATTGTAGAGTAGCTAATCCCAAGCTATAATTTTTTATAATTAAATTAACATGAAACACAGCAATCCAATGCGCAATGATGGTAAAAATGTTTACTTTACACATAAAAACAACATATACACATAAGATTGCTTAATATCGTCTTCGTATCCCATAGTTTTTGTGTCTCACTGTATAGCATTAGCATGTTGCTATTAATTTGGATGAACTAGTTAAAATACCGGTTCAGGTTAGTTCTGTGGGTTCAAAAGTTATGAGCTTTTATTTTTAAAGAATAACGTCATAATTCTATTCAATTCCAACAATCAAATACTAAATATAAATGAATAAAATAAAATGGGGGGGGGGGAGGAAGTTTGCCTGGGGGGAGGGGGGAGAAATTCCATTTATTCGGTTGTATTTTGTAGAAGTTTAAATAAAAATTTATCGATTCATTGTTCTGAATAGAACGTATTTTTATGGATCATTGAACTGAAAATGTCTGCACACACAAACCAGAATCATTAAATTTATAGATTGGAACTAAAGGATTAGCTGGCCTGTCATTGATCTAGTTTAGGAAACTCTGAAATAATTGTCAACAGTTAAAAAAAATACAGAAGAGCAAAAGTCTAATTTTAATGTGTTTAAAGGGACTGTATGCGTATTTTCAAGTGAACCTTCATACAAAGATGAATTTCCCCTATTAACAACGGTTATACCCATAAAAGCTTTGTCTGATCAAGCATGAATTTGAACTCCATATTTTTGTTTTTGAAAACTGTGTATTTTGATTCGTGGTTTCTCTGCAAAAGTGACTTGCGCATTTCTTACGTATAAAAAGGACTGGAGATATCAGAATGTAAATTATGCTATCTTTAACATTTTTGATCAGATTAAGTTTTCATGGTAATTTTGTAAATTAAACATTGCCATCTTTGCATGAAGGGTTCACTTGAAATTAAGCTTACAGTCCCTTTAAATTGTTCAGCTCCAGATCTTAGAATTTAGAGAACCAATATAAATATGAACAATAATTATTAATTTAAAATCAACCAAGAAATTCACAAATTTCCCCATGTGAAATAATTCAATACGTGTCCAGTGAATCCTGTGTATTAAAAATATATTAACAAAATTGAGAAAAAGTTAAGGTTTGGCCAGAAGGAAGGGGAGGAGGGGGGGGGGGAGATTTCTTCCAATTACGCGGATTTGCGTCAGCTGCTTAAACTAAACTTTCCTTATGCCCAGCAAAACTCCACACAAAGATCGGTTGAACTTCCTCCGATGATCGCGTTGCAAGGATCGTTGAGTTGACCAGAGAGAATACGAGGTCCCTGGAGGACCGAGGTTTTCCAAACCAAACTTTTTATCTTTTCTTCCTCGGCCGTCCTTCTGACGAGACGCGTAGGATATTGCATCCTCTCTGTCCTGTTGTTCCACATCGTCCTTGTGATGCCTTGACGATCCCCTTCGACTCGGGACGATTCTGGAGGATCTGGTAGAAAGAGAATCGTCTGATTGCTCAGAGGCCTCACTGATTGCATCTTCGTCACTCTCGTCTTGGTCCTGCTCAACCTCATTGCGAGGGATATCATAACTCTTCTTCTTAAACATTGTGTGAGTATAAACCTTTCCGAGGGGGTCGGAGATCTTCATTTTCGCTCCTGAACTATGATGGAAGAAGATAGTAAATCCTATAAATGGAGCCAGATGGCTGAAACTATGTCACTGTTTTCACATTATCACTAAACCTCTCTCAGCTCACCATTCTCCATTCTTTAAACCATCAACATCGTTTTCTCCTTAAACAATCCAATCTCTAGGTTCAAAAATGTTTAAATATAAAGGGTTTCTGCATTTTTCTGAAGCAGAAATGCGTAAGTGACTTTACGACGCAAAATTAAAAATAAACAATAAAAAAATTAAATGGAGGATCACTTAAAATTACGTCTCCATCCCTTTAAGTTAAGGGATAGAAAATCTAAATAAATGATTGTACTCCAATGACGCGACGGGTAGAAAATATATCTATCTATGTCATGAACCAAGAAACAATTTAAGCAGATGTTGGAATGTTGAAATTGATGGATTGTAAAACCATTTATTTTCCGGATTTGAATTTAAGTGTATTTTCCCTGACGCAAATATGTATCCTATTACAGGCGCGTATACAGGGGGGGCAGTACTTTTCTTGCCAGCGGGGGGCCTAGCCCCCTGTGATTTATAACCAAAGGTTAAAAGCGCGCAGGTGTGGTGGGCAAAAAACGAGCTTCTTGCCCTCATCTTCACAGGGGCCCCTTAAAAAGTAGTTGAAATTTTTCTTTGAGCTTCGCGCCATTTATTTTCAAATTTTACCTTTATAGTATTTTCCTTTTATCTAACCCCCCCCCCCCCCCCCCCCCCCCTACTTGATACTAACAGAAATATGTATCCTGGTCCCCTGATACTGCCGCATATATGTATCCTGGTCCCCTGATAATTACGCATGTATGTACCCTGGTACCCTGATACTGACGCATACATATGTATCCTGGTCCCCTGATAATTACGCATGTATGTACCCTTGTACCATGATCTGACGCATGTATGTATCCTAGTGATAGTCCACTGATAATGACGCATGTAAGTATCCTAGTCCCCTGATAATGACGCATCTATGTATTTTAGTCCCCTGATAATGACGCATGTCGCATGTTTGTATCCTTGTCTATGATAATGACGCATGTATGTATTCTAGTCCCCTGATACTGACGCATATATGTATCATGATCCTCTGAAACTGACGCATACATGTATCCTAGTCCCCTGATACTGACGCATATATGTATCCTGATCCTCTGGTACTGACGCATATCTGTATCCTGATCCTCTGATACTGATGCATATATGTATCTTAGTCCCCTGATACTGACGCATATATGTATCCTAGTCCCCTGATAATGACGCATATATGTATTCTAGTCCCCTGATACTGACGCATATATGTATCCTAGTCCCCTGATAATGACGCATATATGTGACCTATAGATCCCTAATGACACATATATGTATCCACGTGCCCTAATAATGACGCATATATGTGTCCTATAGATCCCTTATAATGATGCATATATGTATCCTAGTCCCCTGATACTGACGCATATTTGTATCCTAGTCTCCTTATAATGACACATATATGTATCCTAGTCCCCTTATAATGACGCATATATGTATCCTAGTCCCCTGATAATTACGCATATATGTGTCCTATAGATCTCTTATAATGACGCATATTTGTATCCTAGTCCCCTGATAATGACGCATATATGTGTCCTATAGATCCCTGATAATGACGCATATATGTATCCGAGTACCATGATACAAACAAAATAAACCGACCCTCAGGCAATAGATTTTACTTTCTTCATTGTCGATATTTCTCAAACTTTCTCCGGGATATTTCTTGCAAATTCCTTTCACTTTCTTTTAATCAAAATAGTGGACACGGGGTTGTAATTTAATTTCTTTTTTGTCATTTTTCAAACCACTTCAATCTCATAATTATATGATTCAATGCAGGCCGCAGGGGCATAGGAACAACCCCCACTTGCTTCTGAAGGGGGGGGGGGGGTACTTTAGGTTAAAAATCGGGAATTCATTATCTAGCCATATTAGCTTAGAGTGTATGGGCTGTCAACTTTTTAAACTTATCTTGTTGCCATCAGAATATTCTATGTAAAGTGTAAGATAAAAATATTAATAAGATTCACAACAAAACTTTATAATATCATAAAGATTACTTTAACTTTAATTTTGTTATGATATTTTCAAATTTAATACTTTTTATTTCTTGAGAGCACATATGCAACATATGTATCCTGATCCTCTGATACTGACGCATATATTTATCCTGATCCTCTGATACTGACGCATATATGTATCCTAGTCCCCTGATACTGATGCATATATGTATCCTGATCCTCTGATACTGACGCATATATGTATCCTAGTCCCCTGATACTGACGCATATATGTATCCTGATCCTCTGATACTGACGCATACATGTATCCTAGTCCCCTGATACTGACGCATATATGTATCCTGATCCTCTGATACTGACGCATATATGTATCCTAGTCCCCTGATACTGGCGCATATATGTATCCTAGTCCCCTGATATTGATGCATATATGTATCCTAGTCCCCTGATACTGACGCATATATGTATCCTAGTCCCCTGATACTGGCGCATATATGTATCCTAGTCCCCTGATAATGATGCATATATGTATCCTAGTCCCCTGATACTGACGCATATATGTATCCTAGTCCCCTGATACAGACGCATATATGTATCCTAGTCCCCTGATACTGACGCATATATGTATCCTGATCTTTGATACTTTTAAAAAATAATGTTTTTCTTCATTTGTACATTGTTCTGAGAAATTAATAAGAAATTAATAAAAAAGTGTCATCTGTTATAAAGTAGATTAAAAACTAGGAAAAGAGTTTTAATATTTTCCAGCTTTTTCTTCTCCTTTAATATCAATTATAATAAATGCTTAATAATAAAAATAATTCACATTATGGCAGGGATTAGTATTTATTTTTAAATATTTTGGATCTATTCTTCGTAATAATTGCTAATATAATAATATAATAATTGGTCCTAAGTCTAATTAAAGTTGTTTCCACGTCAGTTTAAAATCTTACATACAGGGTCAGGGGCGTATTCAGGAATTTGTCCAGGCGGGGCTTAGATTTTTTTGTTTCCAGAGCGGGCTCAGCATGCTGTTGGGGCCTGAAAACCCATTGAAATCAACAAATTTAACTGGTCCAGGGGGGGGCTTAGCCCCAATAGCCCCCCCCTGAATACGCCTCTGTACAGGGTGTCCCACGAAATATGACAGTTGTTAAATAGCTTAGAATTTCTTCTTCCATAATTTGTTAAGTTGTCTAATACCAAAGACAATAATAAAAATATTATATAGGAGTCATATTATAGTAAAATTAATTTCAAAGTAAAATATACTTGAGCAAAATATTTTTTAAACAAAATAAACTGCAAACAGCCTTTAATATCTAATACAGTGTATGGAAGAATACATTCAAAACTATTTACCAACTTTCATGTTTCGTGGGACACCCTGTAATTCCAATCAAAACTTTTCTTCTAAAAGAGCTGTTCAGAAGAACAATAAAGTTTTGATTTTTTTCCTTGTAACCAAATAATTTAGTTTTTCTTATAAAGATAAAAGAGCTAAGAAGTCACAAAGTTGTACCAGTGAAGCCGCATCGATTTGACCTTCTCCTTGGTCTAGTGCCATCATAAGCAGAAGTCTTGGTCATGGTCTTTTAGCTTAGTTTTGGAAAATAAATTGAGTCTTTGCCACAAACTCAACATTTATAATCACTATATCTTTGCAACCTGATAGTGTTAAACTTTGCTATTTCAAACTTCTATTATTCGATCTATCAGAATTGACAGTTTGAAATATCTAAGGTCCACCAAATTGGGTTGCAAATATATAGCGATTTTGAAATCTGAGTTTGTGGCAAAAACTCAATTCCTTTAGATATTTTAAGAGAATCGGCTTGTGGGCCACGGCCATGCCACGGCCCATATCACAGAGTTAGGCTGAAAGGTTATGGCAAATATGTCCAATAGATCGGCACCATGATTCTTCTAAATAAAAAATCTCATTTTTTAACATATATACAGGGTGAGAAAAAAAATGTGATTAGTGGTGTAGGGTAATTTTTCAATATTTGTTGGAAATTTTTTTTTGGTACTCCAATGGACCAAAAAGAAATTTGCGAGACTTTTTTGCTCTCAAAACCAAAAGTTTATTAAAGCAAAAATGTGTATATAAATTATTTCTATAAAGTTCTAAAATATGTTAAATATTGAATTACATACAGAAAATTGACAAAATTGAGATAAGAAAATTCGCAATTTTCAGTTCTGGTCTGGAAAAATTCCACAAAAAAATACAATTTTGCACCAGAAACCACTAAAAACACTTTTTTTTACTCACCCTGTAGTATTATATGCATATATTTGTTTGATTTTGTAAATACTGAACAGAAGTAGTGTGTTGAGGGGGGGGGGGAGGGGATAAGAATGCTTTTTTTTATTTCCGATTGAATTTCCGCATACAATTTATCTTTATAAATTGAGTTTCCCACATCTAATAGTTCTCACGTTAAATATTTATCTTCAGACATGGCATATTTTCTCTTTTAATTTCTTAATTTTTTTGCAAAGATGGTTGTCAGGAGACAGCATGTATTTGATGGATGTGACAACCTGGCTGTGCAGATGGTCTTGGAAAAGAATCCAACCATCCTGACCAGTAGTAGTAGGACGATGAAATGTATTTTTACAAAGAAGAAAAGATGTCAGAATTTTTGCTTTTTTAAATCTCGGCATCATGCATTGATCTTTTCCTTCGGAAGATATAACGGATTCATTTAATTCCTCGTTGAAACTCCGTGGGCATCATACCCAGCAGGAATAATTCTAATAAAGCGATTAGGAGTTAATCCTCAAATATGAAAGCGCCCCATTGGACATTGAGATCAAGTGTTCAAGATTAGCGATACTCATTAAGTATACATGGGATGGATCAGGATACATTGGCTGAATCAGGGTACATTGTATGGATCAGATAAAAGGGTTGGATCAAGATCATGTATGGATCATGGATCTAGGATTAATGAAGAACAGAGAATTAAGAGAAGAATCATGGATCAAGGATTAATGGAGAGAGGGGAACTAGGAGAAGAATCATGGATCAAGGATTAATGAAGAGAAAAGAGCTAGGAGTAGAATCATG